GATCTGGCACAGTGTCACTTCTTCTGTATGCTGGTTGCACCAGTTACTGTGTTGCCTGGATTCAATATGAGGGAACACAGGCTCCACACCTCTCACACGCGCTAGGCAAATATTCTGCCCCTGCTCCAGGCCATTCATTCTTGAGAGATCAAATTTTTGTTAGAGCTGTCCTTGAAAATTTTGTCATCCTTGGCCAGTAAGGACAGTTGATCTGAGGAGAAATGTCAGATATACAGAAACAGGGTTGGCAATCAAGGAAATGCAAATTCAAATTCTTGAAGAATCATTATACCAATTATATTATCATTTTACCAATTATATTAGCAAACAGTTAAGAAATGTTCCTGGCCAGGATGTGGTAAGATAAAAACTTACACTTTGGGGTGGGACTAACACTTTGCAGCGATACTTTAGCCACTGMCTTTTTGGAAGATAGTTTGTTGGTTTGCAGAAAGAATCCTCAAAACATGTTCTGAGAAATCAAATCAAAATTAATTAAAAACTRTAAAAATAAAAACCCCAAGAAAACATAATAGCACATTGCTGTTTGTTATATGTAAAAGCAAATGGTTGGACATGTGGTGAGTATTCACTAAAGCTAGGAAATCTGAAGGTGACGTGGAGTCTTGCTAAGCAAACCCGCCTCTCTTTCTCTCTGGCTCAAAGGATATCTGAGMCAAGGTGGCAGTACTGGGGCACTTCCGTGGACCTCCCTCATCCCAAAACTTAAAAAAAACCAACTTTTTTTTTTATTTCATGCTCTTAAACTTCCYTTTTTGTTTTTAATTGTACTTTTTATGTCCTCATTATTTAATTGCTGTGTTTTCTTCGTAGRTCATGGTATAATGTAAAAAATAATAAKAAGAARARGTCCAAACCAAAATTAAAATTAATTAAAAATTGTGGCTGCAGAAGGACAAGGACTGAAAGGAGCATTCACACTTTGAAAATGGCTTATTTTGTTGGTGTGTGATTGTATTGAGGGAGAACATTTTAACTCTTTAATTTTAGAATTTGCTTGTGCTTTGGTATTACAGTCAGCTCTCTGTATCTGTGGGTTCTACACCCACGGATTCAACCAATCTTGGATAGAAAATGTTTGGGAAAAAAGTTGTACCTGTATTGAAAACATAGAATAATTTGACATTATTCCCAAAACAACGAAGTCTAACAGCTGTTTACATAGCATGTACATTGTATTAGGTTTGGTAGATAGTCCAGAATGATTTGAAGTATACAGGATGATGTATGGTTATATATAAGCACTGTGCTATTTTACATATCAGAGTGTCCACTTTTACTTGAGTGTCCACTTCTGGTATATGTTAGGGGGCCCTGGAAYCCCCAGTATAATAATAATAATAAAAAAAACCCTTCTCTACTAGAATTGAATTTCTCTTTACTGTTTATAATTTATGATAGGTTCTTGGTYGAGTTGTTTTGCACTAAATATTTAGGGCAATCACATCATTTTTATCCAAGAAAAGTAATTAACATTTAATTTTTAAAATTTATTTATTTAAAAAAATATTTTTTAGATGTTGATGGACCTTTATTTTACTCATTTATTTATATGTGGTATTGAGAATCGAACCCAGTGTCTCATACATGCTAGGCAAGTGTACTACTGAGAAACTGATGTGACTCCATTTTTGAGAAACCAGCCTCTACCTCAGAGCAAAGCTTGTCCATGGAAGCGGGCGTGGCCCTTGTCCTTGGAAAAACCCACAGAGCACTCCTAGGTACATACCCACCCTGGTGAGTTGTTTGTCTGCAAATAACAGGAGAGATCTGTGCGCAGGTGTCCCTGACTCWGTCAGGCTAGGTGAGGACCCATAGCAACCCCCTAGCAACCAACGATCAGCATGAGACAGGAAAATACCTGGGATGCCAGATGACCCTCCCAGTAGTTTATGGTGGTTGATAACATGTTGGGAAACCATGTAGTTCAGCACGAACACCCCTCGTGGCTTAAACCAATCAGTTCAAACGAAACCCCCTCTTGTACTAACCAATCACCCTTATCCAACTTGTTCCCGCCAGTGAATGTGCTAATTATGTTTTAGAGTTGTTTTATGATTTTCCCTCGGTGTGTGATGATTTGCTAAGAGATGCTATGATGTATGTGAAGTCCTTGCCTTCCCCAAAGAGTGTATAAAACTGCTGCAAACCCTGGGTTTGGGGCCTCTCAGCGTCACCAGTTGCTGTGTGCAATCGGAGGACCGAGCTAGCTCCCAATAAACACCTCTTTTGCTGCTTACATTATCTTGGTCTCTGGTGGTCTCTTGGGGGTTCTGAACTCTAGCATATCACTACCACTGAGCCACAATCCCAGCCCCAACTTTTTAAATTTAAATAAAAAAAATTAAATTAGCACTTTATTTTTAAAACATTTTCTTTGTTTCTTCCAAACATTTGATAATCCCTGATTTTGAGATATTACTAGCCATTGRTGTTTGTTTGCAAAATGGTGATAATCTCATTTCAGTATTCTATTTTTTGTTTATAGCCGAATACTTCTATTAAGAGATAATTATTTTTCATYGTTTATTTAGTTATCTTTAGGTGAAGTTCCTCCAGGAAAGACAAATAAGAGTTTTGTGGAATCCACCAGAGGCTCTTGTGTTAGCTTCCTATTGCTGGTGCAGCAGGTTACCATGAACTTGGTGACTTAGCAATAAAGAGTTAAAATCTTAACAGTTCTGAAGTCAAGTCTGAATGAGGTCTCGCTAAGTAAGGCTGGGTAGGGCTTAGGCTCCTCCTGAGGGCTGCGGGGCACCCTGACCTCTTGGTCTTGTCCGGGTTCTAGAGACGCCTGGTTTCTAGTCCCACAACCCCTTTTCATCTTCATGGCCAGCAGTSATTGGCGGGGTCTTTTCTGCTTTCTTCTTTCACTTTTAAGGATCCTTGTGGTCCTGTTGCGCCCACCTGGGCAATCCAGGGTAGCATTTCTATTTTAAGGTCAGCTGATATGGAACCTTATTCCATTATCTYTATTTCTTTTGCCATGTGGGAGTTAGGATGTGAACATCTTTGGGAGAAGGGGGCTATTATTCTGTCTATCAGATTTATGGAAGGCCTTTTTAAAAAGCATCATAAATTCATGGATTTTTTTTTTTTTTACTCTGGAGAATGAACCGAGAGCCTAGTATAAGCTAGGTGCTCTGCCACTGAGCTACACCCTCAGCCCAGACTTGGATTTTTGATATATGAATTAATTGTAATTATCTTTTTWAAAATTCTAATTTTTCTATTCTTGGACAATAGAATAAGCTTTTTCTAGTTGGTTCCTGAGTTCCTTGGACGGGAATCCTGTAGTCTTGAGAGTGTGCATAAGAATTACCTGGAGGGCTTGTGAAAACACAGATTGGTGGGCCTTCCTACATCAGAGGTTTTGGCTTAATAGATCTGAAGCGGGATCCTGAAGTGGGGATGTTTGRTTGTCTCGTGATGCTAATTTTGCTGTTTTAGGGACTTAATTTTGAGAACTTCTGCTTTAAGGAACTCTGGTAGAGATTACAGTCTGGATACCAGGGAGGACACTGATGCTGGCCTTATTCAGTGGAAGGAAGGAAGGAAGTAAAATATAAGTTTACTGAGATTCAAATTTAAATTTAGAGTTACGAGTTTTAGCCTTTAAGTTTGTGTTCATTCTTATGCTTTTTATGAGATTAATAATTACTTATTTAATAAATATATATTATATACATATATCTAACTTCAGCATACTGCTACCAAGATTATGACTTACAACAAGATGAATGAAATAGATTTTTTGCAGCCCCTTTTGTCTTTAGAGTAAAGTATCCCACTGGGGACCCACAAATTACTCTGCATTTAAGTTATTAAAATAATTCCTGTATGTTTGCTTAGCTAATCAACTCAATACCAAATTAGATTGGTTCTTTTGTTTGCACTGTTTTTAGTTTTAGGGGATTTTTATTTTCTTTTTAACATAATTCTGTAAGCATTTAAATGGTTCCARCATCACATCTGTAAAATGAGTTCTAGCCTCTATTTCTGCTCTTCTACCTTGTTCTCTCTCTACCGTATAGGCAACTACCATTTAATTTGTTTTATGGTTAAATAAATGGTAGTATGCTGTCCATACTTATTTCTCTTGGGTTCTCTTCTCTCCCCTCACCCCCACTTAATATATTCTGAGGGTTTCTTTAGGGCAGTATATTTGTAGAGAGAGTTCCATTCCTTTTTCTTTATAGCTCAAGTGTGCCCCATTGTGAGAACACGCCATAGTTGATTCCTCTATTGTGGACACTTGGGTTTTATAGCCTTTTGCTATTATGAATTGTGCTTCAATATTATAAATAGTACATATTTTAAGGTAGTCACGATTGTACTATAAACTGCCYTTTTTTTCATTTTTAACTCTATAACATGATCATTTCCCATATTATAGTCTTTATAAATAGTTCCATATTATAAATTCTTTGTAAATAGTATTAAGAAACTTTTTTCCCTTATTATGAAAGTAATACAAGATTACCTAGATTTTAGGAACTCAGAAGAAAAAAGGGTAAAACTGAAAAACACCTCCCTCCCTCCATGTAAGTGCACTGTTAATAATTTTTATATGTTCCCTAAGGACCTTGCAGCATTTGTGTAAACATATCGAAAACAGCATCATGTTGTATATACAGTTTGGAATCCTGGTTTGATATTACTCATAATTGTGCTTTTTCTATTCCATACTGTTTTAATTTTCTCATTATTACTTCTCTGTTGTTGGCTCCAGTTTTTTCTGTTTTTTCAGCATTATAAATAATATTGTGATAAATATAGGTGCACAAACTTTTTCTAAATTTCAGATATTCTTAAAGTTGGCTTTTGTAAGATTCTGAATGAGCAGGAAATACACATTGGTTAAATACATCAATTAGCTTGTTTTCTTATAGTGATAATTTGGCAAGTCCAGTGGTAAGAGATTCTTACCTCAAAATTTTTATCAAATAAATTTCATTTTTTTCTTTTTCTCCTGGTAGGACCTGAGAAATGAAGTTGAAAAATTATGCAATGAAGTCAATGAAAGAGAGAAAGCAGTGGAGAATTGCTACAAGAGTCTTTTAAGTGAAAGCAATAACAAATTGCGTGGTCAAGAGCAAGTAATCAGACATCTGATAGAAAGTGCCAGTCAAAAGGTACTGTAACTTTTTTTTTTCTTTTGTCTTTTAATCTTTTGATTTAGCATGGTTTTAGGAACTGTTTTCTAGAAACTGTTATGATTATAGTTTTCATTGTTCTGTCTCAGAGAACTTTAGATGTCATTTATGTCATTTGAGCCTCAGCCATGAGGAGAGTAAGAGAAACAGGAAGCTCAGAGAGGAGAACAACTTGTCGTGGGTCATCTGATGAGTGGTAGAGCCCTGACCTGTTTTTCTCTAGTGGGTACTTGCTGTTCCTTATTTGGGCCATGCCTCTTCACTACTCTGGACGACTTCTTTAAATGACTCCTTTTGGTCTTGGAATATATTTCTTGGGTAATGTAGTGAATTTTTCAGACTCAACTCAAACTTATAGATAACCATGGGGGGTTGAACATGAGTGTTTAATTCTGCTTCCTACTAAAACCTCACTAAAATAACAGTGAAGGAATAAGAAGGTATAAAACTCACAATAACTAACGAGGACAGTGGGAACAGGTACAATAGCCATTGTGAGTCAGCATGAAAAGTTTGGAGGATAAGTGGGTGGGCAAGTGGGAATTGCAGTAGGATTCAGCATTTGTTACTAGGCTATATACCTTGGGATGAAAAGCCAAGAGAAGCAAGCCGATTTATATCGTGGCCCCAGGAAGGCTTAGTAGGTGCTGGATGCAGTGGTACCTTTGAAATGGGAGATCATGCTGGAATACCAAGCAGTTCTAGGTGACCCTCCTCTTCTCAGCAGCAGCACATGTGTGGAGACCTTAAACCAGATAAACTCTGGCCCTGGGCTACCAGATGCAACTGGGAGCAGGAGTGTGTTTTGGGGATCAGAGTGGGAGGGAGTAGAACARAGCCCAGAGGTTCCTCTCAGGGGAGAAGTGACATAAGCTGCTGGCAGCTGACATCACACTGGGGACACCATTGACATRTCCTTTCCACACTCACAGAGCTCTGAGCACTTTTGTCTATGAAAAGTAGGTAGAGAGCCTGAGTTCATCAGATAGGTGAAAATGTTTGAGAAGAAAGACAAAAAGGCCCAAACAGAACATAGGTGCACAGAGGAGATGGAAACAAGGCAAAGTTGGCCAGCTTTTAAAAATCCCCCAAATTAACACTATAGCCAAGGTATATAGAGCTCAGCRGTAGAGTGCTTGTCTAGCATGAGTGAGGCTCTGGGTTTGATCCCCAGCACCACAAAACACTACCACCAACAAAAATCAACCCACCAAATTATCCCTATTAAATGATTAGATAAGAAATAAAACTGGGATATGATATAAAAGAAATCTAGAAAAGAAGAATGACCTGTTGGAAATTCAAAGTATGATTGTAGATAGAAAWCATTTAATAGAAGAGTTAGTTATATTACTTACGAGTTTCTTATGAAAAAAATAGAAGAGTTGGAAAAGTTGGAAGATAAGTCTTCTAGAAAATAGAATCACACCAACAAAAACATGGGCAAAAGGGAGAGAAAAGTTAAGAAAATTAGAGACATGGCTCAAGGGGTCCAAAAATATGGACTAATGGAAGTTCCAGGAGACACAGCAGGGAAAGCTGAGGAGGGAAGATTTCCAAGAAAYGGGAGACCATGTCCCAGATTGGAGCCAGGTCTTCTAAATTGCAAGGGCTTGCTCCATTTCTCTCATGGGGAATGAGAGAAAACCCGTACTCCAGGGCAGATCATTGTGAAATTTCAGAACACAGGAATAAAGAGAGRACCTGAAAGGCTTCCAGAAAGAGGAAAATACAGGGCACCTAAAAAGGATGGGCTCAGATGACATCAGAATTCCCAGCAGTACCCGTGGACACTGGAAGACAGAGGAGTACCTCTTTCAGACTTTGAGGAAAATTTATGAGCACTCTGTACTCAACCATGCTGTCAGCAAGTGTAAGCGTGGAAGAAAGGTGTTTTCAGATGTTCAGTTTTGTCTTAAGTTGTCGGCCTCTTGTGTGCTCTTTGCAGAAAGCTCTTGGAGGCTGATTCTGTACAAAGAAGGGAATAACCCAAAAGAAAGAGATGTTGGACCCAAAAAGGAGGAAATCTACTTGGAATGCTGTGAAGGGGAGTCCCAGGGTCACAGCTGAGCTGCCTATGTGGAGAGCTCAGGTTTGGGCTGTTGAGGGCTAGAGTTTTAGTTGGGCTTCTCCAGAAACTAACAAGGAACTGATCAGTTACCTGATGTGTTTGACTTCATTGAGTGAAATTTTCATGTTCTTTTAGAAAGTTTGGAGATAAATTTACATTTAGTATATAATTTAATTTTATGGATTACGTAAACAAATAGAATAAAATAATTATTAATTCCAAGAAAGCAAAGAATTGAACATGAATGGAAATGTAATCATGGAGTGCTGTACACTGAGCCATATTTGTGTGGCTATGATAATATAAATGTGGGGTGCATGCCTGAAATCCTAGCGGCTTGGGAGGCTGAGGCTATTTCTAAATAAAATATAAAAAAGGGCTGTGGATGTGGCTTGATGTGAGGCACCCCTGGGTTCAATCCCTGGTATAGATGATGATGATGATGATGATGATATAACTAAAGATATAATTGAGATGCAGATGATGTAAGAGCTAAATTTTTCAACTTCTATGATAGGAACCTATAGATACAATCAGAACTTAAGAAATCAAGAATGTGAAGGTAAAGAATGTAATCTAGAAATGTGGAAATAAATAGGAGAAGGAGATGAGGAGTTGCAGGTGTTTTTCTTTCTGGGTGTGGGGCTTCAAGACGAGAAGTGGGGAGGTCAGGGATTGCTGTTTTCCAGTTAAGCCTTATAGTGCTGTTTGAGTGTGAAACTACATGTGTATAATTGGACTTAAAAAATGAAAGTGGAAAGTGTGATTCAAGCACAGCTGTGTTAAGGCAATTCTAGAAAGTCATTGCTCATTGTTTGATTCTTCCTAGTACAGTTCAATGGTTTCTTATGAAGACTTGCCTCTGTTTCTTTCTTTGCATTCACCTACTGTCTCTGTTTGGCATGATAAATTAGTTCTGCTAGAGGCTTAGGAGCAAGATATGGTTTCTTCCCTTAATTTCCCGCAGGGAAAGAACAGAGCCCTAGTTTGGAGCCACCAGTCTTTAAATGCTTGGTAATAGGTTCTGTGCTTGAACTTGGCCAAAGACCAGAGTAATGTCCTATCCAGTTGTTGGATTCAGGTCTCCTGAAGGAGTCAGGGAGAGGAATTTATTGTGTGTCGCCAAGAAAGAGCCTTTTGTGTGTGGCCAGACTCTACTGCCATATTTGTAGTTTTGGTTTTTTTTTCTTCCCAAAAGTCAGATCTCCTTGTGGATATGGTCAGCTTAAGTTTTGTCAAAATTTATTATGTTTCAAGATAGACTTGGCTGGATTTTAATATACAAGTCCTCTGTTCACSCAGTAGGCTGGCAGGATAGGAAGCAGACCCGGGATCACACCCGAGCGGGGCAGGCCCAGGACTGGGACTGTTTCTCTTGGGACAGAGCCTGGACGTTTTCTTCYACACCTGCTAAAGGACACTCACTGTGGTGGCAAGCCTGAAGGTTCCTAGCCCCTGGTGCCATCCTCAGCTCTGCCTTGCCGCCAGTCTGCTTTTCTCCAAGTTGTAATAACGTGGAAATGGAGTTGCATTACGGTTTTATAATTGYCTAATATTTTGAAATGATGGAAATTATTTAGGGGACATGTGAGTATCATGACAAAATAAAAAATCTTCCCCTACAGGGTTTAGGACAATCTCTTAATATTTTTTCTTGATGAAAACTTTCTTATGATTTGTTTCATTTCCTTAGAAATTCAATGAAAAAGATTTGGAAGCAGTACAGCAGAACCGGTATTTAATGACTGCCGAGGATCTTGAGTTCAGGAGYGAAGGCTTAATAACAGAAAAGTGCTCTTCTCAACAGTCACCAGGCAGCAAGCTCATCTTCTCTCAGGTAAGCTTGACTGAAATTGGATGTTCACATGYGAATGTATTCATATTCTCTTCTGAAACGTATTTGATAACTCCTCGGATCTAGCGATCCTCAGATGTCTTCTTGCTGGTWATTGAGCTTATGACAGGCAGGACAGGGGGTTCTCTGTCTAGCCACCCTCAGATTAGCATTCTCYAGCTGAGCGTTTGTATTTGCCCTGCACACAAGACCGAGAATTGGCAGCTTGTTAAGAGAGGAGCCTYGCATTTGCTCTATTGGGGTCACCTCAAGAACTGTGTGGTCCCAGACGTCTGGGGGATTCTTCTGTTGAAATGCATGTGAAGAGGCCCCAGCAGGTGGACCACTCTTATTTAGCCCCAGATTATTTCAGGTCTCATTTTTTTCCATCTCCAGTAGCAGCATTTGTTACAGATTCCTGCAGATACCCTCTGTGTGCCTCTCTACCTGGGGGGCTTTTCCATCCCTGTTCACCTGCTAACTCCTGAGGGATCCTGCAAGTGTTGCCCTTCTATCTCCCTCCCTGTGGGCCCTGCTGAGAGGGGAGCCTCCTCTCYCTGGCCCACAGCCCTGTCCAGGCCCTTGCATTGTGGCACGTGCTCCTCATGTAGATCCCACCTTTCTGCTTCCCTTCACTTGAACCCCAGTGCAGCACCAGGGCCAGGTACTTTGCGGGTGKCAATTGGCACTCATCCTTGAATCCCAGTACAGCCCAGTGCCYGACTCTGAAAATGGTAGTTGAGTGAGTGAATCATGCAGCGAGGCAGCCAGACATGGGAAAGCTAAGGAGTTGGCTGTATCCAATTTTTTTTTTTAAAAACCTACCTCTAATTAAGTTCATGTGTGCAGAAGACAGAAGACTCTTATGCAAATGAGTTCTCTGATGAATGACTCTGATTGTGACTTGTGGTTTTGTGAAGGGTGATTCTCAAAATAATTAACAACTGGAACATCAGCCATCAGACCAGACGCAGGCAGTTGGTCTGGAGTGGGGAGATTGAGGCCTGCCTTTTGCCAGGCACCCCCACACCCCCAGGTTCCTGGATCAAGGGCAGGTCCCAGGGCAGTGGGGTGGATAGAGTGGATGGGCCTGGGCTCATTTTCCAACGAATGTAGCAAGCATTTCAGTATTTTAGCAGCCAGTACCAGCTGGGGCACTATGTGCCAGCTGTGTCAGACCTGGTGTTGGTGTGTCATTGGCTGAACGTTTAGGATGCTTTCTCACTGTGTGTTTGTCCCTTTGCTGCTGTCCTTGAGAGTGTCAGCATGGGGTAGTGGAGTCTTGGGCTGGGCTGGGAATCTGGGGACCTGGATTTCTCTCTGGGCTCTGTCATTCCGCATAGGTAGTAACCTTGGGCAAGTCTCATTACTSAGTGTTGGAGCGCTAGTATTTTGTGATTTTAACTTGCATTTAGTTATTGGATCTTGACCAAAATTAGCTGGGCTGTTAAAATGCACATTCACCTGTAATAAGGTGGTCTATTTTGAAACAAAGTCGCAGACAATCTAGTTTTTCGGAGGGACATATCTTTACTAAAATGAATTCATTTAATTGTTAAACTTTGCTAATTTGACTCTCATTTTAGTCATGTAAGAAGTGTTGAACAAAATGTTTATAAACTTACTGAATGAGTATTTTCCAACTTAATGTCACTTATTTTGTCATCTATACATTTTGTTTTTATTTTGTGCTGGATGATATCTATACCTCAGTAATATCAGATCCAAGTGACATTTAAATTACTGTGCAAAATACCTAAGAATTTTAGTAAAGATTTTAATTCTGTTCTTCAAGACTAATTGCAAAATGTAAAATGTAGATAAAGAATTATAAATTATCACTTAAGAATTGTAAATCTGTAGGTGTCAATTTAAGAAATCCAGCTCTTGCAGCTTTATATTTTTTTTTTTCTTTCCTAGAGAAGTATGCTTTTCAGATTGTAGTCCTTTCTTTGTAGAAAATGTGGATTTTTTCCTGCCTCGCCCTTGGTTGTTTTGTGTTGACCTAGGAATTATCCTTTGCCCATTTCTACCAAAAGCCTGAAGCTATGATGATGTCTCCATAGACTCTGGGTAGTCTGTTTTCCTTCTAATCGTTGTGTGATCCCGAGAATTAATGCTAGATGATCAGGGAATTGAAGGAGAGAGAATAAAACACRCTGACCATATTTGACTTGCTACCACCAGAGATTTATAGCTTGGTTATTAACGTGGTTGGGACATCGGTGGTGAATTTTCTGAAGTATTAAAATAAATGTCTTTGTTGCAGGGCTGTGACCTAACTACCAGAAACCATCTATCTACGAGGCCCCTAAATTGCCCTGATTATCAAGAAGTGATCTATTAGGCTTTCTTTGCATGTCTGCTGCCTCCTCAGAGTATGGTCTGCACATGACATGTATTTCCTTCAAGTCGTTAAGAAAATGGTGGCAGTACAAAGTGCCCACTTTGGTGTCAGAATGCCAGTGCTGCTACTTACTAGCTCCGTGACTTCGGGCAGGTTGCTTAGTCTTTCTGAGATGCACCTGTGTAATCTGGGAAGTGGGGAATTTTGTKCCTTCCTCTGAGAGTATTAGAAGTAGTGTAAGAGAGGAGGTAAAGGTTTGGGGTTATAAGCTGTGGAAGCCCACATTGAGTAGTTTGAGAAAAACATCAGTGTAAGGGGATCCCAGCTGGACARGACTAGAGGCTCTCCCAGACTCCAGGCAGGGGCTGAGCAGCTACAGCTGGGGAGGGTAAGAACAGGCACAGTCCCTTGGACCTTGAGGGCAGAAGTCATGGGCTCTGGAGCTCTGCTTTTGACTTTGACCCTGTGACTCCAGATGTCTGGTGTCTTGGAATTCTTGGAATTTCCTAGTCCTCCAGGGCCCAGGACCTGTCACAATGSAGTGGTGTCTTCCTAGGACTCTCTTCCCAGTTTTTAGGGACATTCTTAGGCAAGGCAGGGGAGTGTGCCATCACTCCAAGGGCTGCCGAGGAAGTGCAGCAGGGTCAGACACAGTAGCTGTGAGATGGCGACAAGCCTTCTCTGTGCAAAGGGCCTGGTGGGGTGGGGCAGCTCCCCTGAGTGGCCTGGCCCTGCCTCTGAGCTGGGGCACTCTGCTGGGTCGTCAGCTCTGCAGAGGGAGCCCAATGACTTCATTCTAATGAGGTATGATTCTAYGTGGGGAATAGGTGATTGATGAAATGGGACCCAAATGGCTCTGAAGAGTTCATTTATTTAACATGGGTGAGCAATTTGCTTCTAGGAAGACATTGACTCACCCTGACTTCCATTATGCAAAATACCCACAGGAACCTCTGCTCTTAAGATTCACATCAGTCCCTGTGTTTCTCTCTTACCTTTTTAATCATCAGCTCAGCAAGTATTTGTGATAGCATTTGATTTGTACCAGACACTGTGCCTGGCATGGGACAGTGCTGCTGGCAAGTCATCCTGACAGCGAGCAGGTGATGGCACACCAGCTCTGGGTTGCAGGTGAGCCTGCTGCGTGCCCTTGCAGTTGGAGAGTTTCCTAGTGAGATCCCCGAGAGGCCCTGAGTGTGTCAGTGTGCAGTGGCAATTGATGCACTGTTTCTCCTTAAAGGCAGGGAGGGGGATGAGGGCAGGAGCTGAGGAGAGTGGTGGCCTGTGAACCCTGGTGAGGGTTGGGAGTGGCCTCTAGGAAGAAGGGAGGGAGGGAGCTGAGCAGGGCACTTGGGCCCTGCTGGGGCAGTGGCTGGTCCCCCTCTGTGGCTTAGAGCCCAGGTTTCAGATATCGAGTTAAGAGATAAAGTCCAGGGCTTGGATTTTTTCACTGGACACTCCATCCACCAGAAATCCACATTTCMTGATCTTTTTTTCCTAGCCCTTCTTGGTTGTCTTTGAAGTTATATATGTGCACAAACTCCAGCTGGACCTATATTAGCTGACTGGACTGGAGCAAGTTAACTCTGTTCCCTGAGAAGCAGTTCCATCATCCAAAAAATGGGAAATGAATGTAGTCCTTTCAGCATTGTGATGAGAGATAAGATCTTTCAAGTATGGAGCACAACACTTGGGGCCTGGGGACTAGTTACAGATGGCATTTATGAAGTGTTGACCGCACGCCTGGTATCATTCTGTGAGGTTCTTATAGATTTAATTCATTTGATCTTCTTAACAACCCCATGTGCTTTAAAGAATTATTCCTTCATTTGGATATTGAAGCACAGAGAGGTTGAGAAACTTGTTCAAGKTCACACACTTAATAACCATCACTTCCCCTCTTGTTAGGTGCTCCAGAAGCAGTAGGTTTTCTTATTTTGTCACTATCTTTTCTTTTTCTTTGACTGTCCTTCACGTGGTCTAAGTAAGGGCGGGGCAGTGATGGGTGGGTCAAAGAGCACAGGCCCTGGAGTAAGCCCTGAATCAGGACCCTGACCTTGGGCTGGGCATCCTGTTAGTTTTCTTTCATTGCTGAGAGTCCCACATGATGCTCTTGTGTTCAGAAGGCATTAAGGAGCCCCTGGAACTGGTTTATGGCATAGTTTACAGAAGGGCCTGGCATTTCTGTCGGGCCGGTGACTGACTTGTCAGGACCAGCCTGGTGGCTTACCTTGCAGACTGTCAATGGCAGGACCTGCCTTGGCCTTGTCTTGTTGGGCTGGAAGCACAGTGGGGTTCTCCTGGGCCCAGGCTCTCTTCTCTTTGCTCCTCTGCATCCCTTTGGTGGCCTAACTAAAGCCGAGGACCCCCTCCATGAAAACACTATATGCACAAATTATATGCAGAGAGTTATGAAGGGAACCAAATATTCTTAAGTCCAGTTTTCAAAATATCAAAAATTATCCTATGGAAGTGGTACTTTTATTCTTGTGTTAAATAACATGGTCTAGTGGTGAGTACAGTGACTGCTGTAGTTTGAAGTGGTGATGATAATTTTTTTCAGTGCTGGGAATGGAATCCAAGGCCTCGCACATGCTAAGCAGGCACTCCCCCACCGAGCCACACCCCTGGTCCCAAGAATGAATATTTTGAGGTATCAGTGATACGTACAAAACAAGTGTATTAACTGTATTTTTTTTAAATGATAAAGTTGTAGGAATGACACCAGTACTGTCATTGTTTGGAGCAATAACAGTGTTTCTTAGCTCATAATTGAATTTCAGCTGAGGTTAATAGAAATGAAGATAGATTTTTTTTTTTTTTTTTCCGATCACATTCTTGCAACCCTTGAATTTTAGTGAGGTGTGATCTGCTGTCCTGGGTAGTGTCTCTTGAATTCAGGAGGAAACCTAGGTCAATGTGAGCTACAGATGCTGTGGGCAGCCTGTTTCTCTGTTGACCAAGATCTCTCGTCAGCACTTGGAGGGCACCCAGCTTGTCCCCAGTGCTGTGGATGTTGTACCCATTAACTTTTTTATTTCAACATTTTTTTCCCCCATGGTAGTGCGGTCTTGGTGTGTTGTCCATGCTGGCCTCAAACTTGTGATCCTCCTGCCTCGACCTCTAAACAGGTGACTTTAGAGGTGTGCAACTCCTATAAAGAAATGTTTTCACATTGATAGAAAAGYCACATGATTAAAGGATTATATTTTTTTCTGAGTTATCTGAGAGAAAGTTGCCCAATGGAGTCCTGTTGCCTGTGGACACTTCAGTGTGCATTTCCTATATTCAGCCCGCCCACCTCAGCCAGGAAGTCAGTGCAGACCCATCCTCTCTCTTCCAGTCAACAGACTCCACTGTATTTAACACACTGTCTCAGTTGCACCCTTTGCAGCAGGAAGGTGTGTGCGCTTCTGCGTCAATGTCACGCCTTGCATCTCAGCCTCGATTCTCTGTCTGTCCTCTGGTTCCTCAGCCTTTCCTCGGCTCTCTGACCTTGATACCCTGGAAGTGTCAGGTCGGGCCTGTCATAAGATGCCCTTCAGTTTGGGTGTGCCTGATGTCTCTGTGGTGACTGGGGTGACAGGGGTTCTGGCCGTGCGTCTTTGGCAGGAGTGTAACAGTGGCCATGTTGTGCTCTTCTCATGACGTCCTGTCCCATGGTACGCAATTTCCGTTTGTTCCTTTGCTAGCCAGGCTGACTTTGCAAGTTTGGGAAGGTGCTGTCTGCCAGTCGTCTTGACTGGTGGTTGCTCTTTTTTTTCTTTTATTAAATAGATGTTTTGCRTCTGTGTAAATATCCTGATCTCCTACTGGTTTTAGATTCTTTTTTGTTTCTTAGTTGAATTATTTATTACCACCATGGCGGCCAATGGTAATTTTTCTAATCCATTGTTCTTTCTACACATATTATCATTTTATTGTAATGAACAGTCTTCTCCTGTATTCATTCCTGTTAGTGTGGATTTATGAATTCATATTTTATTCAGTGGGTTCTAATCCATTACTGTCATCCTTTATCTTGATGTTCACRTTGTCCCAGGTTTGATTGGCTGGTGGGAGCCTCTCCTCTTTTGTTTTTTTGATACTGGGAATTTGAACCAGGTGTGCTCTATCAGTGAGCTACATCCCCCAGTCCTTTTTATTTTTTATTTTGAGGCAGGGTCTAGCTAAGTTGCCGAGCCTACCCTTGAACTTGCCATCCTCCTGCCTCAGCCTCCCGAATCACTGGGATTACAGGTGGGTGCCACTGCGACTAGCTGTGGGGACCTTTTCAAATGGGCCACTGTTTTCTTTTGACAGCATTGCAATACTATTTAAGCAGTTCTTTTCTTGAAACTTCTTTTTGTAAGTTTTATTGAAGTATCATTGACAAATTAGAGTGATATGTTTAAAGGTCTACTCCCAGTGCTACTCAGTTGACCTCTGTACTTGGTAYTCTTTAGGCTTGGGTTTGTGAGTTTCTCTTCTTTGAAGCAAGAGCAGGTGCAGCAAGGCATTCTTGTAGTGTTTTGGAAACAATGGCCAGCAGCCCAGAGGAGTCACGGGTTGATCAAGGGTGAATCAGGTGGCTGAGGAGTCTTTCATAACAGCTTCTGGGTGTTTGAAGCACAGCTTTGAGCTTCTAGGTAAGTATATTAGTCAGATTCACGTCACTGTAATAAAGCACCTGAAGTGACTAACTTGTAAAGATAAAAGGCTCAGAGGTCTAGAAGTTCTAGTCAAAGACAGAGTGGAGGCATTGCATTGGGCCTCACTGGGGTAGGTATGTTGGTGGGCCGCGGCAGGGAGTGTATGGAGGAACAAACTGCTCACCTCCTGGCCAGGAAGCCAAAGAGAGAAAGAAGTGGTTAGGGGTGCCACAGTTCCCCTCACGGGCACACCCACAATAACCTGAGGACCCCAGACCAGGCACCACTCTCAAAGGTTCCACCACCTCTAAGTAGCACCACCGTGGGACCAAACCTCTCACACACTGGGCTTTTGGGGTACACTACAGAAGTGTGCTGTAGCAGGCAGCGAGAGGCAGGCATTCCCCGCTCCTCCTGCAGGTGGTGCTGTGTGACTGTGGCCTGAGCCAGGGCCTGGCCCAGGGCTTCACCTTTGTGTGGTTCAAAAATAAATAAATAAAACACACACACACACACACACACACACACACAGAGCTGGTCACATATGTTTGTATACTATAAGGCTGTCTTCTTAAGATCCTTCCCCTAAAGTCAGATGTCCACCATCATTTCCAGGAAAAGGAACAGTCAGACTATGAAAAGCTGATACAGGTCTTACAGCAGGAGCAGGACATCTATGCCCAGCTGGTGAGGTCTCTGCAGGACTCAGACAGGTAAGGCCTTCTATTTGGACATCACACGCCTGTGAGTGTGGGTGARCGTGCACACAGTTTTTGGAAAAGCTGATGGGCCCTGAGCCAGAGAAGCCGTCCCAACATGTGCTTAAGAAGTGTACACAGTAGTCAGGTAGTGATTGTCTCCTTACAATACCTGTTATACCTGTTTTCTATCAAGAATTGTCTGATCTTTGGCAACTAAATTAGATTAAAAATATAGTGTTTACTCATATTTCTAAATACTTTATCACATATTTAGAGAGCACTTCCCTGTGTATTATCTTACATGATCTTCACAGCTATACTGTGAGGTAAGTGAAAATGTTCTCCCTATTTTACATGAATCCACTGACGCTAAGAGAGGTTACGTGGCTTGTCCAAAGTCACACAGGTGTTGTGAGAACTCCRGACACTAACATGTCTCTGTGTCTTAGAATGACTTGTGTCTGCAGGATGGCTGAAATGATTTGGTGCCAGTGAGGTGTGGGGAAGAGAGCCAGTTGTGGGCCAGGGGTCTTGGTATAGTCCCGGCTCCCCTGCCCTCTGGTTCCGTGTCCCCAGGCAATTAGCCTGCTCTGGGCCTCTGTTTGCAGGACTGGCCTCAGGGATTTCTTGCATTAAAACCCAGCTCTCTCCCCATGGGAGTGGTTCAGTTGAACGCATGTGACGTCTGGGACTTGTTTCAGAACAGTACAGAAGCAGATGAAGTAGGTGGGGATGTCARTGGGCGGAACACGGTCAGCCCTGGCTCTCTGCTTGTTGGGACACGGTGTGGGCAGATGAGGAGAAGCTCATCCCATTACTTTGTCTTTTTGTATATGTCCAAGGTTTCCCATAAGGAGAAGCTAAGAACCGTYGCCTCTCTTTCTCTCTCATGATGCCCTTTGCTTTCGCCGTGTTGCTGGGCCGTCTCTTCCTGCCTCTGCTGTCCTCTGTCCTCTGTGCTCCTGGCCCCACCTTCCTGCTGTGTCTCCCACTCCTCCTTCAGGAGTAGCTTGAGTGTCAGCCTCGTCGGGTGTCTGGCTGACCCCCAGTTCTGCTGCCCCTCTGCATCTTCTCTCTTGACTGCCTGCCTGATGCGTGGGCATCTCTGCTGCTCCACCTGCTCTCCTGGTCTGGGAGCTTCCTTAGGACCAGGGGTTCCTCTGCCATCTGCAGCTCCCAGAGCCTGGGAAATGCTCTCTGCAGGAATGTCTGTCCCTAGCACGGATCGTCCAAGTTACTAGATAATTTCCAGATAAGATCTGAAATGAGTTTGAAAAAACCAAACACATACTGATGAAATTTGGGGCRTAGGCATCTCTGAAAGTGGGCTTTTTCAGGAAACCTCAGCAGCTGGTCTCTTTCACCAGAGGAGGGGTTCAATCATGTGGGGAAACTGCACAAGTTTCACTTGAATTGCACAGCTTCTCTGGGYGGGAGAGGTGCTGTGGGGAGATGTGCTTGCTCTCAAGCCCTCTCCACAGGAATGGCTCCGAGTTTCACAGGCTCTTTCCTAATGAWTAAAAACGTGGATGGGACTGCAGTGGGGCAGGGCAGTGGATAACCCATGCTCAAAAGGTTTCTGCACATCTTCAGACTTTGTTTAGGGGTAGCCAGACCTGCTCCACAACTAGCCCTGCCACTCAGCTGCTCTGGGCTCTTGGGAGAGTGTTGTGGAGTGGGGGTGGGGCCTGCTTACCTACCTGCACAGCAGCTCACCCATCTGCTTACCTGCCATGTGCCTGCTTGCCTTCTACTTCCCACCCACCCACCTACCCCACTCTTCCTRTCCTCCTTCTGCCTACCTACCTTACAAGGTAGTTTGGATATAAGGGATGATAGTGTGTAAATTCCTCATGCTGCCTGACACATAGTAGGTGTTCAGTAAACGTCAACACTTGTTGAGAATAAACACRTGGGAAGCTTCCACGTGCCTCAGTACCCCCATGTGCGTCAGCTTAGCATCCAGGGCATTTTGGGATCCTCAGCCCTGGGTATATCCAGGAGGAGCCCCCACGTCTAACTCCAGCACTGCTCTCTCTCTGGGAACTGGCGGTGGGGTGGTGGCTGCAGACCAGGGTGAACTTGGGGTTTACACAGACAGGGAGGAGGAGGCTCGTTGGTTCTTTCACCTTTGCTTTCTATTTTTCAGTGCTCAGATGTGGGCGCTTTAGCTCATGTGACAGAAGTGCTCCTGAAGGCCTGTGGTGAAGGGTGATCGAGCCTGACCCCCTTGGCTTTGTAGCCCAGGCCTCGCTGCCACCCCTGCATCTTGAGGGCTAGTTCAGTGACACTTCCTGTAACCAAGGCTCTCAACCTCAGCAGTACTGGGACTTGGGGCTGGATGGCTTTTTTGTCATGAGGGGCGCCCTGTGCATTTTAGGGTGTTCAGCAGTATCTCCGGCTCTGTCCCCGTGCCAGGAGCACACTCACTCCCTCATCCTCTTGTGGTACCAAACATGCCACCAGGTATTGCAAAATGTCTCCCAGGGGGAGAAAAATCATTTCCAGATGAGAATCCCTCTTGTAACTCATGAGAATCAGAAGTTTGGGCTCATAAATATCATCTTTTTTGTGGGAATTGTTGGGGTATGCAGGAGGAAGGAAATGGTGTTTGCCGAATATCTAGAATGTATTAGGCACCGTGCCAAGCTCTTTCTCATGTAATAGGACTATCATTTAGTCCTCAAAACAGTTCAAAGGAAAGGTATCATCCCCGTTTTATAGATGAGATGTTTGACTGACATGGCCACGGAGGCAAGGTTAAGGTTAGTGGTGGCCTGCTGTTTTGAGCTGGGGTCTCTGATTCCTCCTGCCCGCCACCCCTACCCCGGCCCCCTGCCCCAATCTAGGAGGAAGGTTGCACAGGCTTTTGTTTCTTTCTGAGCAAAACACTTTTTACTTCTCACCTTGARAAACTTCTGGAGCTGGAAAATGACGGGCTCCAGGGCGGCAGCTGTGTGCTTTTCACCCTGTCAGAGGTGGAAGGGAACCGTGGCAGTTAGCTTTCCCTGGCCCCGATGGCAGGAGCTTTGCTAAAACAGTCTCCCCTTTTCCTCTGGTCAAATGCTTCAGCAGCACAGCCACATCCAAGTGAGTGCTGTGCTGCCCTGGAAGGGCTCCCATCAGCTGTACAAATTGATCATTGGGACCGCCAGTCGGGCCCTTGGCCATTCGTGAAGGGTGCCTTGCAGTGAACCGTCTTCAAAGCAGCAAGCGCAGAAGATTGGAYGGAATGGTTTACTTTCCTTCCAGTATGTCTTGATTTGTGTGCAGTTTGAGGGATGGRGCTGGAGAACACTCTGAAGGACTAGTGGGGTGTGAGTGTGGCACACGGATTCAGAACACTGGGGAGAATCAGATGGAAGCTTATGGCCCTCTCCCTAGAGCAGTCTGATAGTCATCAGTTTTGAAGCTTAGTTTCAAGGTGCCGATGGACCCTCTTAGGGAACTGTAGGATGGACGCTGGATGGGAAATGATATTTCTCAGTGATTTTTATAAAGGAGGCTTTCAGATTTGTTAAGGTGTTTAAGAACCTTAAAAGTGCTTGTGTGCTTTGACCTGCTGGTAGCACTGCTTGGAATCCTTCTTAAGAAAGCAGCCCGGGGGCCAGGCCACACCTAGGTTTAGGCTGTGCAGTTGTCAGCTGGGTTTGAGTATTCAGACCTGTGCCAGTTCTCATCTGTTGAAGTCCAAGGCCTGGTGTGTGGATCTGCACTGTCCACTGGAATACCCAAGAGCGGTTAGGTCATTTAAATTTAAACTTACTTTAAATGTAATGAAATTACAAACATTCACTTCCTTGGTGCATTAAGCCACATTTCAGATGTTCAATAGGTGCATTCTAGTGGCTACTGTATTAGACCCTGCAGATACAGACTGTTTCTGTCTTCAGGGGAAGTTCTGTGAGCCAGGGCTCTCCAAGATGAGTGCACACTCTGCGAGGTGTGCGTCTGTGTGGCTTCCCCCAGGTTCTGAGCTTCTCATTCACACATATTGTCTACACAGCTCAGCAGTGCGTTATGCTGATCTSTGTGTGAAACCTGACCCTCCCTCTTCCAGAATAAAAATCCATGCGCCCTGTGCAGCGTTGAGTGATTCTGTTGGCCCCTGGATTGGTCATTTTCTCTTACTGTCAACTCCCTCTGTTTTTCTTCTCTCCTGCTCCTCCCCTTTCCCCCCAGGATGACCTCTTTGATGGGAACACAAAAGAATTCCTTTCTCTCTGAAGCCTGGGTGTAAGAGACACTCAGACCTGGAGAGTCTYCCCTCCATCCAGCCTTCTCAAGGGGTTATTCCAAACACAGGAACATGCTAGAAAAGCAGGTTATTTTCACCTGGTTACATCTATAGCAAAACTTGGAAATGATCCAAGTGTTCTCTAGTAGGGAATGAGTTAGACTAAATGGAGGGACATTCACCTGACATAATTTATACAGTCATTAAAAATGATGTTGCAAATAATTTCCACAAACGTGGGGAAATATTTAAGCAAGGAATGCACAATTCAGCATTTATTATATTAATGTTGAAATTTTCATAGAAAAAAGATTGAGGGGAAATATGGTCTGCAGTGTTATAATTGGTAGTGGGGATCATGATAATTTTTGTTCTCTTTATACTTTTATATTTTAAATTTTCTGTGAACATTTATTTCTRTAAACATATACTTAACTTTTATAACCAGAGAAAACACAAGTAGCATAAAAATCACAGAAGGGCTTGCTGGTCTTTGCTTGTTAAAGCACTACTAGGACTATTTTAAAATTTCTGATGTCTTGTTATGTCAAGTATGGACACCGTGCAGGCAGAGTTGAACAACATTTTTGCCCTGCGGAAGCAACTGGAACGGGATGTGCTTACGTATYGGAATTTGCAAAAGAGCCTGGCGGAGCAGATCAGCGAAATTCGGAGGCGGGAAGGTACACACTCTCTTCTTTGTACTTCCCGTTGTTTTGTCCAYCTGGAGAGCCTTGGGTGAATTTAAGAGAGCCCTAGATCTTCATGAGGAGGTGGAGCAGCCACAGGATTTCCTCTGGAGGTCATTTGTGGGTGTTGGTGTTGATGTTGGCTTGCCCAGTCTTCTCTGTCTAGCTTTGGCCTTCCTAGCAGRAGAGCCCAGTAAACTGTATTAACACTACAGAAGATCCATTGCAGGGTGGTGTCCCTACTGCTTCTGCTATTTTCTGCATCATTTGATACTCCCAATTCTAGGTAACTTTGGGGGCTTGCAAAYCCCTCCCTCTCTCCCTGCCTACCCCATCATTGACTGGCTCAGTTTCCCGTGGAACCCCTGCAGAGGGTCCGGAATGGCAGACACGAAACATGCTTAGCATTGCAGGGCGGCTTCATTCAGGGAGGGCTACAGGAAGAGGGCTCGTGTGGCCCTGCTGAGTTCTCATCATGTGTATCTGGCCTTGTCCTGTGCCAGACTGAAGCCCTGAAGTCTGGGTGGTGCTTATTGCTTTCTGTAGCTCTAGCTCAGTGCCTGGCACACATGGTAGGAACTGGTTATGGCCGTGGTGGGTTGACATTTCTTGGACTCCTGCTGTGTACAGGGCACAGGCTTTTACTAGGCTCCGCCCTTCTCACCSGATTCTCACAGTCACCCCATTAGGCACAAGTGAGGAAGCTGAGCTGGGGGTGGGTTGGGTGGATTTGCCTGGATGTGAGCCARGGTGTCCTGAGGTCTGGCTCTTCCTGTCATTGCCACTGTCATGGTGCTCCAGCACTTAGCCATGTGTATTTTCAAATGAGCTACTGTTTGTACTTGTGGCTTTCTCAGCAAATGTCTTCCCTCTCCTCTGYTTCTGCCCCCTCTGTTAGAATGTGTCCTTTGCTGCAGAGGAAGCCARTGACACATTCTAACCCAGGTGACCGAGGCGCTGTTGTCTTGGCTCCAGCGGGCCGCTTCTGCACTTGGTGTACTCGCTTCCATGAGGGCTCTGGGGCCAGTAAAAATACATCAGGCACTTTTATTTCCCTTGAGTTCTACCCTTGGGGTCACATCTCATTTTCCCATATTCTCACCTAAACAGAATCAAGCTCATTTAAACTGAAATCACCATTTGCTTGTGCCATTCAGAATGGTCTCCAGACACAGCACTTGATATGCAGATTATAATTCAGAATTGGCCAACTAAAGCCTACAGCCCCAGATGAAACCATGCACTGAGATGGCAGCCTGTGGAGCAAGRGAAGGTTACTTTTGTTCCAGAGATGGTGTTGTAAACTCCCAYGTGCTTCTGTGCCCTCGCCCGCCCRCCACAGAGTGCTTTAGGTGGATGGAGCTGGGATTGGTCCCGGAAGATCTGTTCTGATGTTCTTCGTTTCACCCCCCCCCCTTGTTTTTGGACAGAAGAACCRTTTTCATTTTATAGTGATCAAACGTCTTATCTAAGTATTTGCCTTGAAGAAAACAGTCAGTTTCAAGTGGAGCATTTTTCTCAAGAAGAACTTAAGAAAAAGGTATTGACTTAATCACTTTCTTTCTTTCCTTTTTTCAATTTGTTGTCTCTGGGTTCCTGATCACAGAGGTGTGATTCTGAAAGTCCCTTTACTCCTGTCATCCAGGGACAGCTCTTAGCCCCTCCRCACAGAGTGAACTTCCTTCCCCTCGGGCGAAGGTGTACCCAGTTCAAATTGATGTCCTCCCATTCATGAGGGGCTGTAATTATTTGTCCCTAGGCTAAGAGCATCTCAACCCTAGTGGTCAAGACTTATTTATTTCTAATGTCCCAGGGCCTGGACACAATAGTAGGAGCTAATAGATGGTTTTTGAATGAATATGGTTCCAGTTTGATCAATGCATCTTTTTTTTTAAGCAGGAAAGGATTTTCAGTTTGTCGATAGGTGGTATGATGAGAGTGGTTTCAGGGTTCTAAGAATCCTGGTTAAGAATAAGCCATGTGAACACAGAGGAGACTGTGATACATTGTGAAATTATCACATACATGGGACAGAGATTCATTTTCTTTCATGTAATAATTCACATTCTGGCCGAGAGGACAGAAATGGGAACAAATAATTGCAGGACGGAGTGCAGAGGTTGCTGTGTGAGGCAGCTGCTCGAGGCGCAGAGACAGCAGAGGAGAGTTCATTGCTGCTTGCCTGATCGAGGGAAGCTTTCCAACAGAAGTGACATTCCAAGTGGGTTTTGAAAGATAAATAGGAGTGTATCCAGGTGGCGGGTTTTTTCAATGGAGAGAAAGCAGAACATGGAAGGCAGCGATGTAAGTAATAGCAAGGAGAACCATAAGACGTTGTGTATTTTGGGGGCTGGGGTTGTAGCTCAGTGGTAGAGCACTTACCTAGCATTTGTGAGGCCCTGGGTTTGATCCTCAGCACACATTAAAAGGCAAACTAAATAAAAGAAAGGTATTGTGTCCATAAAGCAACAACAACAAAGAATTTGGGTATTTCTGGAGGAGTGGGGCAAGGAGTCTCGAGTCAGCTCTTTTTTTTTTAATTTTTTTTTTTTAAATTTTTTTTTAGTTGTAGAAGGACACAATATCTGTATTTTATTTATTTTTATGTGATGCTGAGGATCGAACCCAGTGCCTCATGCATGTGAGGCGAACGCTCTACCACTGAATCCCAGCCCCAGCCCTCAACTGTTTTTTTGAAGATGAGGAAAGTGGAGATGGTGGTAGCTGCTGCCCGGCCTGCKGTGCTGTGGCCAGGGCAGCACGTAGTCGCCTGAGCCAGGTAGAATGTTGTGCTCTTCCCACCATATCCTCCTGAGGATTGGATCCAAAATTTATTCATGTTCAAAATACATCAAATATACCCACCATGTGTAGTGAGGGTGGGGTTTTCCACTTTATTTGAAGGCCTAGTGACCACTCCATTAAGAAGAGTTTGAAAAGTCACAGGGAATTGAAGCTGGCGGGGAACGAAGGTGGTGGCTGCTCAGTTGCCCCTGCAGCTGACCTGTACTGCGGGAGGAGCCCTGGACCGGGAACCTGTGGGGGTCTTCCTTCTGTCCTGGTTCCCTCTGGGGACAGTTGTTCCTTCCTACCTGGGCTGGCACTGCGGTTCCCTAGATACTCCGATGCTGGGACCCTGGGAAGTTAGTGTCTTTGCATCTCTGGTTCCTAGCTGTAAGGTGGGGATTCACACGCCATCTTGTCCTCTGCCTCAGGATCTTTGAGGGACTGATTGACTAACTTGCAGAAGTATATTAGCAGCCATAAACATTCTTTGTAATGGACGGCTGTCGTTACTGACACTGCTAGGTGAAAGGAAGGTCTGTGCTGTAAAATAAGGCCCTGGCACAGTTGTAGAAACTTCACCTCTGGGGTGTTTTTCCTCCAGAGGCCTCCAATGCAAGGCAGAGATAGCGTTGGCTGTCATTGACTGAGCCAGTGTCAGGGACATGTTAGTGTACCCTGACTRTGGTCATGGTGAGTTCTCATAGTAACCCATCCGACAGATGAGGAAACTGAAGCTTAGATCAGGCAGCTTGCTGAGGTTCACTTTGCCTTAAAGCGGTGGCTCCACCTCCCTGCTCTTATCTCTCAGGTCAGCGAACTTATACAGCTGGTGAAGGAACTCTACACAGACAACCAGCGCCTGAAGAAAACCTTTTTTGATCTCTCCTATGAGGGTTTCCAGGGAAATGGCAGACTTGAGTCAACAGAACAAAGAGAGGTAAGAAGCAGCATTCTCATTGTCATGTGCTAATTGCAGAAATTTACTAACCCCAAACATTTCTCAAGACTGCCTCTGTTCTGGGGAGGTCTGTAACTGAAACTTTCTTTTTTCTGTGGGTGGGTGTTGAGGACCTTGTTAGGTCAGCAGGTGTGTCCACAGGTGTCCTACAGTTCAGTTCCTGTCTCCATGGATCGCTATTGGGATGCTTTCGACAATTGTCCCGCTCTGGGATCTGTGCTGCAGATGGCACAGCTGGATGAGTGTTGTGGTCTCAGAGGGATCTAGAGAGTTTCCAAATCACCCAGATAATTTGGGTAGTGTAGATACAGCCTTAGTGAATCCATTCACATTCAAATACATGTGCAATTATAACTTGCCCTGAAAATTCACCTGGATGACTTCTGGGTCTCAGTGCTGATCTTTGTACTGTGTTGTCTCTGGTTTTCTCTGCTCCTAACCTGCGCTGTATAGTGGGAGGACCCTGAAGTCGTGTTGGCAGGGAGGAGGATGTGATTTTCTTCCCCCAGTCCCTGGCTTTTCCCGCTCTCCCCAGGAGGGTTGCTCCATGCACAGAAGACTGGGACTGTTGCCATCAGGTACAGAAGGACCTTTTTGTACTTGGGTCCCTCATGAGCAAAACCACAATCTTCTCGGTTGGGGTTGTCTGGAACTCAGCCTGGAGCATCAGGAAAGTGCAGGTCCCACATTCATAGTCAACGTCATTTTTTGGGAAATATTTGTCAGCCTTAAGTTGTCTCCTTCCACCTTCAAAGTGGGAGCTGCTCACAGGTATTTATGCTACGCTCTGGCTATCTGCTTTCTTTGAGACAGGGAATATTATTGATCTTGGCCTCCAGGGCTCAGATAATTTTGAAAACCAAGAGTAACTGCAATCCATTTAGGGAAAACAAGTCTCCTYGTTCACTTCCTCCAAGGCAGCATGCTTAATAAGCAGTTCTTTCTTCACCGACTCCATTTGAGTCGTAAATGGCGAGTTTTGTTTGTTCATTTGTCCTTTGAAAAAAATCTGTTAAATGTCCCATTATGTCCTTTGGAGAACAGAGGCTTTTTCCTCTGCCCACTCTAAGATCTTAATACCAGCCGATTCAGATTTGAGTCATTTGTCAGGTTGCACTTCAATTTGATGTTCCCAGTGAATAGCCCTGTCCTTTATAGCACAGCTCCCATCTGCCCCATTCAGGGGATAGGAGATGGGCATGGGGAAGATGGTGTGCCTATTATAATCTGGAGCTGAGGRAGCAGAGGGAGGCGGGGAGGGGGACAGCAAGGGGAGCCTGCTGTTCTTCTGGAGGCTGTGTGGGACTCCTTCAGCGAGGAGCAAGACAGACATGCATACAAGTTCCACAGTGTTTTCTGAGCAGCAGTACTTGTGGGGTGGGGGCTGAGCACGATCCTGCTCCTTAGGAGCCTGTAAATCAAAAAAGGAGAGGTGGGAACAAGCAAATATATTTTGTGTCTTTAAACTTCAGAAAATAGAGAAAAGAAATGACCCCTAATCCTGACACTCTGAGAGGCCTAATTAATTACCATTTTGGAATTGTTCCTTCCATATTTGTGTACACGCACGCACTTAGACTCTAATATAGTTTTGTATCTTGTTTCTTCCAGTTACCATCAAGTCATAGCTCTTCTCCCATCTTATGAATGCATTGAAATGTAACTGCTTCACTCTCGTTGGACATGTAGATTGTTTCGAGTGATTCACTGTTTTAAATTACATATTGATTGTCTTTGTACACAAATCATCTTCTGTGTTTAGGAGTTTTTTCCTTGGACTATATTCCCAGATATGTAATTTCAGGGTCAAAGGACAGCTATAGCTATACAGTGAGCATTCAAATTRTTTTCATATACCATCTTCCAGCAATTGTTAATTTGAAGAAGGGTAAAAGTGGCTGGATGCCTGACAGTTGGTTGGGTTCCTCTCTTGACACCAGCTGGGAGGGGCACGCCTTCCCTGCATGCGTAGGTTCACGCAGAAGCCACCAGACAGAGACCAAGAGGGGCCTGTTCATGTTCATGTGTTCACTCTCTACTGAGCTGGCCCCCCTTTTCTTATATACTGATCCTTAATTGATGTAGCATCAGGAGAATTTGGTGGACAGTTGCTGTACAGGAGCAGTTTCAGCAGGTTCAGCCAGGGTGGTGAGCGTCCAACACCATGAAGCATGCAGCACCTGGGACGGCCATCTCTAGGTGGCAGGATGGTGTAAGGCACAGGTACCAGAACATCACAAGTGATCAGAAAAGCTGGTCACTCCCGTTACTTACTTGTGTGGCTATACTGTCATTCTTAGGTGTGGTTAGAGTACTAAAGTTTTTTTGTTTTGTTTTTGTTTTTTAGCATGGAGAGAAAACATGGATAAAGGAGCAGAATTTAATTGAGCTCAGGTATTTGTGGGATTGTCATGTTGAACAGAAAATAGACCTCCTGTGACTTTAGAGAGCAGAGATAGTGCTCAGAAGTAGAAGATGGTTGTTAAATATTCCCTTACCAATAATGGGGTACATTTTGGTTGGTTGAAGTGGATTTAATTTTATTAAAAGAAGGAACTTTCTAACAATTCACATGTGTTAGTTATTATGAGTTTTAAATGCTTTATAAAGCCCTTGGCACTGCCTGGCACATAGTAGACACTCAAAACACAGCTATTTTTATTTTATTGTTTTAGTAAGTTAGTGGCAGAGTAGGAATTAGTAGCCATCTCTGGCTCTGTTTGGAGTTGTCTTTAAGTTTAGCAGTCATGTGAATTTCCTGGGGATCTTGTTAAGATGCAGATTCTGGTCCTGTAAGCCTGGCATGGGGCCTGGGAGTCTGCATTTCTGACAAGTTTCTGGATGGTGACTCGCTGTTGCTAAGGAGCACACTGAGTAGCAAGAGCAGACATAATTCTGAAAACCGCTTGGTTCTGGTTCCGTCTCGCTCGGGTCTTTATTCATTCTTTTGTCCTTGCAATGGTGTTTTTTTGAGCACCAGGCATTGATGTTGAAACAGTGAATGCAAACACGACCCTGTTCCGCCTAGCATGACAGTGAGGAGCAGYGGGGCAGTTGGAGCAGTGTGGCCAGAGCTGTGCTGGGGTGAASGCTGAACCAGGGGAGCATGTGGCTGGTGCCTGCAGGGAGCAGCAGGCCGAGGAGGGGCAGCTGCAAAGCCACCAGGAAGGAAGAGCACAAGGGGCAGGACCAGGAGAGCAGAGTTCCCGATGGTGTTACTTAAGGAGTGAGGCAACAGCGGGCTTCCAGGGAGTCACATGACCTGCGCCCTTTGTCAGCATGAGAGGGACAGCCAGCTTCAGTGTATGGAGACTGTCCAGGGAGCCCTGGGAGGTGTGGCGGCCCCTTCTCCAGCTGGTGGCTGGGCTGGAGGCAGAGCCCCGCTGCAGTGACATGGTTCTTTCTGACATCTTCTGTGTCTTCGAAAACTACTAAGTCACAYGTGGCATTTGGGCCATTTATCTTTGTCCCCAACGTTTAGTTTTCTGATCATTGCTGAAAAATGAGTGTTTATTTTTAATTTCGATCAAGTCAAGCAGAGGTGAAGAGAAGTGAAAGTTAGCGTTTATCTCAGCGCCTCGAGTAATGGTGGGTTGTGGTTCTGAAATGCAGAAGGGCTTCAGAGCTGTTGCTGTCTCACCTTGGAATGGTGAGTGTTAAGTTCCTTTGCTCAGCTAGATTTAGGGGAACTCTTCTCCTGGCCATAGGCGGCAGGGAGGGCCATCTCCTCCTTTGTCCCTCACCCCKTGTGGATTTTACCTCCTAATCCAGAAGGTCTTTGAGGAACTTTCATGGGCAATTTCTGAAGGCAGAAAAGCCACATTCAGGAGGTAAGAAGAACACTTTCTAGAAGCTTGGAGAACGACAGAGAGGACTTTTGTTGTTGTTTTTATTTTATTGTTTTAAAAAGATGAGAGAGGCTAGCCAGGAGTGGTGGTCCACACCAGTAATCCCAGCGGCTTGGGAGGCTGAGGCAGGAGGATTGCCTCTTCAAAATAGCTGTAGCAACTTAGTGAGGCCCTAAGCAACTCAGTGAGACCCTGTCTCTAAATAAAACATAGAAAAGGGCTGGGATGTGGCTCAGTGGTTGAGTGCCCCTGGGTTCAATCTCTCGTACCAAAAAAAAAAAAAAAAAAAAAGATAAGAGGCTACTTCCTACTTCCCAACATTTTATTTTAAAAAACTCAGATACAGCAAAATGAAAAGAATATTATAGTGAACACCTGAGGTTCCCTCTCCTATTATATTATCGTTTCCCACTCATCCACCATCATCCATCTTATCTCTTTTTAAAATCAAATGTATTTTAATTGACACATAAAAATAAAAATTATAGATGTTACTAACGTGATGTTTTGGTACGTGTATACGTAACATAATATTTAAGTCAAGTTATACGTATCTATTTCCTCAAACATTTAATATTTCTTCATAATGAAAACTTTCATGATCCTTGCTTCTAGTTTTATGATGTTCTTTACTGCTATGTCCAGTCAGCCTCTTGCTCCTGTAGAATTGTACCTCAGTACCTACCCGCAAATCTCCTCTTTTCCTCCTCCCCTCTGCTCTCCAAGACTCTGCTAATCACTTTCTACTCTCAATTTCTATGAAATCAACTTTTTAAGATTCTGTATGAGTGAGAGATCATGGAGCACCTGATTTGCTACATGAATGCCGTTAACGTTTCCCACTTGTCCATTATCACTCCATTTTCTTTTTGAAAAGTTTTTTTTTTTGAAATTACAAACATCAGTCTAAATACTTCAGCATGCATATATATAAACTCTAGTTTTAGCTTCATGTTTATAGTTTATTTTTCTTTTAAGGTCTTATTTGCAAACAGTGATATACAGACTGCATTTGCTCTGTTTTATAAATGTGTGTACCTGTGACCCAAACCCCATGAAGATCCCTTCTTGTCAGTCCCACCTCCACCCAACCCCAGCTGCTGCTCTTATTTTGTCCCGGCTTAATTTTATCTTGCTGTGGATTCATTTTGTCTATACTAGACCTTTATATAAATAGAAGCACACATCTTTTATGTCCGCTTTTCTTCTGGTCAGCATGTTTTGGAGTTTGATCTGTGTTCTTACATGAGTCACCGGTTCTTTTTTGTGGCTAATGGAATTCCATCATATGAATACATGACACATTKGTGTATTTATTCTGCTTTGAATAGACATTGGGTAAAGGTAGTGTGAACATTCACGTACAAGTCTTTGGGTAGACATGCTCCCCCCCTCCCATTGATTAAACCTGGAAGTRGAATTCCTGGGTTATAGTTTTATAAGGAATTGCCAGTACTTTTCCCGAAGTGGGTTAACATTTTTATGCTCTTGCCAACAAGTTTGATAGTCCTAGTTGGTCTGTATCACTTAGAATGTTTTTATAACAAGGAAAGAAGCCAGTAGAGAGAGTGTTCCTCACTCCCTGTATCTGTGAACTTTTATGCCTTAACAAGAACCTGGGCTCTGTATAATGCTTCACAGGATAAACAGATGATTGTGTACTTGGATGTGAGTATGYTGGATGTATTTTGAACCTGAAAGGTTTCTATAAAGTGACTTTCTAAAGTCAGTTTGTTTTGTTTTGTTTTTCTTCTTCCAAAACAAGGTTTTTCCTCAAAAAGGGAAGGTTGAAAGAATTGAAGTTGGACTGGGAGAGTTATGGGTGTAATGGGCTGAGTGTAGAATGCATAAAATAAAATTGTGGAGATAGAACCGTAAGTAGCTCATGTATAGTGTGCCACAAGTGACCCAGTCCTCTCTAGTTTTAACACCTTCAGTGCAGAGCCAGCTACTTCATCCATGAGAGGAGGGTTTGAAGCAGCTTTGATTGACTGGGCTCCTTCCTGGAGTGGCTTCCTCTTCTTTTACTTTGATCTGGTTAATCCTACTGTTCCATAGCTGGGATTTTTGCTCTCCTGGAGAGCTGAGGTCTGACTTTCTGGAGAACTTTGTCCTGTCCTTTCCAGAAGATGCTAACGCAGAAGCTTTGGGTTTTGTACTTCTTTAAAGCATTTGAGGTTTATGCGGTCTTTATAAATATCTGTCCTTCATTTCCACAAGCATAAAGTTATCATCAGGCAAGCTTGGTACTCTCCTCATTAGTGATGAGGACTTTTTGTCAGCAGACTGACAGTATTGCTGGGACTGTCCATCTCAGATGTGTGACAGTCTAACAACAGCTTTATGCCCTGTGCTAAATAGGAGACATGATGCATAAATTGCTACAGCACTTATTGCTTTTTTGCTATTTGATATGTTCAATTCCATCAATAGCCATTTTCCAAAATCTTGTTACTTTTATATAATCCAAAAGTGGATTTAGCAAAGGCAGAAATGGCAGCAGCACAACAGACAGCATATTCAATTTACAGCAGTGCAGACAGACCGTGCGAGGGCAGAGAAAGCCGACAGTGATTTCTTGGGGAATTTGTCCTTAAATTATGCTGATTCTAGGCAGCTGCATGTGATTGACAGAACCAGCACCTCTAACTTTGGCTAATTTTTATTTCATGGCTTTGGCATTTGTTTCTGCCTTTTTTTTGTTTGTTTTTTGCTCTGCATTTTAAAAAACAGACGTCACCGGGCTATTTGTGCACATTCATGCTGCACACTTTTTTTGGGTTGCATTTTAAAACCATCCCATGCTTCATGCCATGTAGCTTCTAGCTAGCAAGGAGGATGAGGACACGATCAAAATTGGAGAGGATGACGAGAATAATTTCCAGAATGACCAGCATTTGGAGCAGAGTAATGAGGTAGGAACATGGCAGTTAACTCCTTCTGCCACCTGCCCCACTCTTGTGCACAAGCCAGGCTTCGGTCTGGAGGGAGTCCAGTGGGTTTTCTGTTCATCCCTCCCCTGTAGAGCGCCTACTGTGCCAGTGGGGAGCAGCTCTCTTCTATTTGAAGTTACAACCTGGGTGATAGAGTCCTTTGGGAAGCACCCGGGCTGTTATATAGTTGCAAATAAAAATGAGAGTTTTGGAATGGCAGGGCTTGCGGGGTGGGCCTGGAGAGAAGTTTGGAGAGCCAGCCCAGCCCATTCATTTTACGCACTGGACACTGACCTGTGAGGGGAGGTGCTTTATGAAGGACACAGAGTAACTAAGTGACAGAGTCATGTCTAGATTACGACAAACTCTTGGATCATTTGATTGCAGTGTAAGGGTCACCAGTGGAGTGGAATGGCCCTCTGCAGTCTCTTGGAACCCAGAATGGTATGATTTGGGCATTAGGAGAATTTGACCCCCATCCACAAAGAATACTCTTCTAGCCACATTGCTCCCCAACATTTGGAGTAGACAGTCTTCAAGGTTGAAAGGTTCTTGGAAGCTGAGATGTGGTGAGCAATAGCAGGCTGCAGGTTTGGCCTTTTGGTCAGTGTTCMAGTTTATGGAGTCATGAATGGGAGAAAATGAACTACAGATAGTTTTGGAGAGCAAAGCAATTAAAATATGGGAGCTTTGGGGGACTGGGGATACAGCTCAGTTAGTAGAGTGCTTGCCTCATCTGCACAAGGCCATGGATTCAATCCCCAGCACCAGCACCACCAAAAAAAAAAAAAAAAAAAAGGATTTTGGGTCAGCCCTTATTTTGAGTCTGGCTGTGGTTCCATTGTCTCTGTGACCTTGGCTGGCCTTTGCTTGGCTGAGTTTCCTCAGCAATGAGGATAGTAACACTTCCTTTTAGGATTGTTATGACACTTAAATAGGCATGTAATAAATGACAATAACTGCTATTTTTATTATTGCATTCTAGACTTTTCCTTCTTTGGATTTTGCTTATTTGATAGATTTAATAACTAAAATGGTAGCAAACAAGACCTATAAATAACAGCTCATTTGTGTGGGTCTTGTCTTCCACTTAAAAAACCTTAATCATTTTTCCAGTGTGAGAGATGGGGGTGATGGCTAGTGTGTATTTCACTAACAGTAATGAAGTCAAGAGGAGTTATTTATAGACCATAGAAGAAATTTACAGCTTTGACGAGGGGAGGAGGAATGCTAATTGTAGCACCTGAGACATGCCTGGAACAGGCTCCAGCTGGACGCCTCCTTGGTGCCACTCTGCTGGGACCYTCCCTGACCACGAAGGTGGTTCTGTAAATGACATCTCCAGGGGAATTAGGAACTCTCCACCTTCCTAATGAGACACTTCAGTACTGTGTTCATTAGTGAGAGTCTGTAAAGAGTAAGCCGGATTTCTGGCATATAATAAGGGGCATAACATCTCAAGAAGACTAATAATAAACATCCACAGTGTTGTTGAGGACACAGGTTCTGTGGAACCTCCTTCTAAGGAGGGGGCCATGGGGCAGGAGGACACTTGTGCAATGTGCACCTGTAGTGAGAGGACTTTTAACCTGACAGGGTCGTCTCATTTCATTCTCCAGACCACTTTGGGAGGTAGCATGACGGCCCTCAGTTTGTAGATGAGGAAACTGAGCCGAGGAGAAGGGATGTAAACGGCTCCCTGCGYGTCTGCGTCTCCTCCTCTTCTCCCCTGTCCCGTTCCCCTTCCCTGTGCTCACTTGCGTTCACGCCTGTGCTCTCGTCTCCACGTTTTCTCATCCATGTGCCTCCTTTTCCACATTCCATTGTTTGACTAAATACTTATATTTGCAGATCACTGAGGACTATGCCAAATTAGGCAACAAAAATGGATATTTAAGACACACGGATTCCAATATTTTAGACTACGAAGGAGCCCACAAGCCTGGCTGCCCCGGAGACCAGAGCCAGGAAGCAGGGGAGCTCTTGGGTCTGCTTGCCCCTTTCTTGCACGAGAAGGCTGCATTGTCACTGGAATCCAGGTAGGACACGGCCCGGGCCTGGCTTAAGGGGAGAAGGTGCTTGTTCTGCCCAGTGGATCGGGGTGATGGAGCCRGGCAGGGCACCTGAGAGCTCCTGAAGGGGCTGGAGGGATCTTGCCAGTCCTGCAATTAACTAATCGGGCTAGAGGCTGTGAGGGGCCCTCCCAGCACCTCCTGCAAGCCTTTGTGAAGAGGGAGAGAAGGCTTTCCTTGAGAATGGTTCCTCAGAGTCCCGGAAAGGGCCTCTTGACTGTTGGGAGAGGAATCAGCTCTATCGAAACCTCCAGTTTCTACAATAGCTTGAAAAATACGTTGTAGTTGTAAGTCTGCTGTTCTCTGTTGAGCTTGAACTAAAATTCTCTTCTCATTATATCCGCTGGGAATCATTCCTATGTGAGGAAATACTACGGATAGTTTTCCTTAAACCAAAAAGGAGAAGCTGGTGTGTTGACACRTTCCATTGACCCCAGCAACTCAGCAGGCTGAGGTAGGAGGATCACAAGTTCTAGGCCAGCCACAGCAACTTAGCAAGAACCTGTCTCCAAATAAAGAGATTTTTTTTTGAAAGGCTGAGAATAGAGATCAGTGGTAGAGCACCCCTGTGTTCAATCTCAAGTATGCTCCCCCCCCCAGACAGACAAACAGAAAGAAACATTCAATACATTTGTATTTTTAAATTTTAAATTAATTCTTTATGAGCCATTTCCCTATTTCATATTCTTTCTCATTCATCGTGATAGCTGCTTGGGCTTTGGAGCCAGAAAGAGCTGTGCCTTCATTGCTCGGTGCCTCAGTGTCTCCAACTGCCTCTTCAGGTAGATTAAGTGAAATGGCTGGCATGTAGTGTGTGTTGAGTGGAAGTTTCTAGTTCTCTTCTGGTACAGATAGAGAAATGGAATCAGTAACTGCTGCCCGTGGACCTTGGCAAGAGCCAGGCATCCTAGTAGTTCTGATGTCACTGGGGAGCTGAGCTCTACGGACTTCTCTTCAGTGGAGAAGGGGGCTGCAGTGTTCTGTTTTTGTGCTCGGCAAAGCTGCCCTCCCTACTCACTGATGTCTTAACATTGCCTAGCGTGAGGCCTCCTGGGGGACATGCCCAGTGGCTATTCTGGTTTATAGGATAGTGAGGTCACCAGAGCTGGTACTTGAGAAATAGAGCATTTTATAAGCACCAGGCTTGGCATCAGAATTAAGAGATACTGCTGTCTCTGAGGACCACAGGAATACTCTCGGGTGGTGTGAACAATGGGCAGAGGCGGATGGGAAGGGTGCTCCTTGCCCCAGGGGTCAGGAGATCTTCAGCCCCATCCAAAGATCAGGCAAGCACGGGGGCCCCCACCCGGTGAGCTGGCACTGTATGCAGGCTGGCAGCGCCTGCGCTCAGTTACCTGCTCCTTCCCTGGCACCCTTGTAGGTCTGTCTGTTCCGTAGGCTTCCAGGCCCTGGCTGGTCAGTGCTGGTGTTAACGGCTTTCTTTGTGCCAGTGCAAATCCACTGCCCCACTTATCGTTACTGCTCACTGTCCTTCACCTCCCCAGTGACCCTGACAGTAGAGCTATGGTTCCAAGGGCCCTGCTGACGTCCTGAGCTGCACACACTCTCTGCCAGGCCCCTCATGCCAGCTTTACGTGCTCCTGTCAGTGATCTTTTCATAAAGACAAGAGCTGAAACCTGGGGACTTGATATTTGTCTAGTTAGTTAGTGGCAGAGCCATTAAAGCATTTTCTGGGGAGATACTCAGTATTCTTACTGGTAGGGCAAATACCAGTCTTCTGCATAGAAATTCCTCCCAACAGGGAGGTGTTTCACTGCACTGGAAAAAACAGTGGGAGTGGGATGGGCCTGGGCCCCTGTCAGCTGCACCATTCAGATCTCGTGCCGTCTCTCCCACCTCAGTTTCTTCATCAGTACTACAGTGTGTTGGGGGGTGGTGCTTCTTTACTCCATGGGCTGAAGGAGCGCTGCTGGCTGCTGCTGCCATTCCCCACCCCGAGACCTAGGTTCACATTGACCTGTTGCATCCCAGCCCTCCTCAAGGGCTCGACTGGCCAGGTACTTGTGTTACACACATTCATAGGACTTGCCACGTTTCATATTTATTCTCACTTGTTCCAGGGTGAGTGCTCGGCATGGCACAGTCAGGCTGGTTTGCAGCTTTTCTTCCCTCTTTTCCCACCCTTCCCTGACTGATGACCGTGCTGTTTATGTCATGGAGAAGATAGCAACAGTTCAGTTCAAACCCTTGCTTGCCTCTGGAGGTGCAAACTCTGTCTTCCCTACTGTGGGAGTAGAAGAAGAGTCCCTGCTCCTAGTCACACTACCAGCTCTCCCCTTGTGGTTTAATTCCTGTCCTCTCTGAGTCCTCTCTCTTTTCTGAATCATTCATTGTTTTCCTCTCATTGAACCATTTTCCAGAAGCATAAGACATGCCTTGACATCAGACATTTGGGAAAAGTACCCCCTGTGCCCTGATTTTCATCCATTCTAGTGACTATACCATTTTTTTATTTCCGTATTTCATTCAAACCAAGGTATCTCGAAGAAACGTCTGTGTTCACCACGTGTGTGCTCTTCCTCCATTTGCTGTCTGTCCCATCATAAGTGCTTTCATACCCTCAGTCCACTTATCAAGGTCAGCAATGATTTCCAGACTGTGAAATCTGGGCTCAGAGGTTGCTTGTCCCCAGGAACCAGCCCTCTCCCTGGCCTTCTGTTTTCCTTCTGCCCACGGTGCTTCCTCAGACTCCTGTGTTGGAAAACATCAGTGTGTCCCAGAGCTGCATTCTCAGCCCCTTCTTTTCCCCATCTCTCCTCCTGTTACCCAGAACACGCAGGGCTTCTGCCCTTTCTGTTCCCCATCTCTCCTCCTGTTACCCAGAACACGCAGGGCTTCTGCCCTTGGCATCTTCCCCTTCCACAAAACCCAGTCAGTGTTCCCATCCGCTTCTTCCCTGTTCCTCCTCATGTCTGTTAATAGCATTGCTATCTACTTAATTGCTGTAGGCAAGAGTGTAGCTTCCTCCAGCCCCATATCCATCAGCAAATCCTCCTAGGTCCATTTTAAGACGGGCTGTATTCCTGGTTCAGCCACTTCGTCTCCCCACACCTACCTTTGTCCAAGCTGCTGTCATCTCCTGCTTGGGCTCCCCAACTGCACACCTCCTTGCCTGTAGCCACTTCTATAGCCACCTCTGCCCCTCCATAGTCCTCCACAGAGCAGCCAGAGCTTTTAGAAACCTAGATCAGATCATGTCTCTTCCATTCTTAAAACTCTCCAGTGGGTYTCTGTTGCCCCTGGAGGTAGATAGGAGATTCTCAGCTGCCTCTCTGTTCCTCTGCCTTCGTCACTCACTCTAGTTCACTGGGCCCCGGACTCCCAGCTGAACCCTGTTACCGTTCCACATCCATCCAGGCTTGTTCTCACCAACAGGCCTTGTGACAGCTGTTCCCTCTACCTGGAATGCCCTGTGCCTGGTGTGGAGGCCTGGCCGTGTCTTGGCTGGGTGTCAGTTCTGTAGAGTGGCCTTTCTCGACCAGTCCATCCAAAGGGCATCCCTGTTTCTCTGCTTTACCTTCAGATTCACTCCTCCTCCTTTCTTCCCTTCTAGTCATGGTACTTTTCATCCCTTCCTGTCTTCCTTAGTTCTAGTGTGTGTGTCAGAGTATGTCTGTCTCGTCCTTAATGACAGGTAAGCTCTGTTTCTCTTTTACCATGTGTAACTGCTGCCTTGCGTGTCAGATGAAGAGTACTCAGTAAATGTTTGAATAAACTTTCAGACAATTAAAAGCTTAACATCATAGCAGAAGGTGAGTCTAGAAAACTGGAGACTGTTGGTGCTTCTTGGGAGTCAGAAAGTCTGTGTTCTAATATTTTGCTACAGGAAAGGTATATTAGTGATCTGGTGACTCAATCTTTGTGAGCCCATTTCTTCACCTATAAAATGTGGTTACTGATAGTTCCTGCCTCAGTCAGGATGAGGATCAGTGTGTTTAAAGGATCTGGAGCATGGCAAGAGCTTAGTGAGGTCGGTGCCTTGTTTTACATCATCTGCATGGCACTTGTGCTCAGGAAGGCAGAGAAGYGTGGGCCTCTGACAGGACCTTTGGACTGAACTGTTCTAGAGGTCCTGATTCCAGTGACAGCTTAATGAATCTGCGGTTCAGATTCCCAGCAAAGTAGCACTTGAAATGTTTTATCTAATAGCAGCACTGCTTTAGTATATTGTAACAGCCTCTTTGCACCTTTTACTACCCATTTGTAAAGTCTTTTTTTTGGGTTTTATTGCGTGTTGTTTGGTGGTGAGTAATGGTCCTCCTTTGGTTAGCTGAATTGCAATTGTCATTATTTCTTATTTGTATTAAAGGAAAGGAAAGGAAAATCAGTTTAACATCTCCTGATACTTGGAGTACCAGAAATATTTTTAAAGTCTGGGCTTATTGTAGTTTAAGATGGTTTGTATATCTAGGTACTTCCTGTTAGAAAAGAGTAATGTGCTATACATTTTAGGTTCCCCCCCCTTGCTTTATTTATTTATTTTTGTTCATTTCAGTGTGCTGTAACTGTTTAATTTGAATTTAGTTAACTTGGCCCCTGATCTAGATCATGGGAATTCAGCTATGAGGAGAGCCTTATCCTTGCCTTCCAAGGACCCAGTGAGGAAGATAATGGGTGCCTGTCATTTCTAGTGGTAGTGAAGGTCCAAGGGAGTGAAGACCAGCAAGTATTAAAGGCATTGGTAGGGCCTGGCTTGTCTACGAGTTTTGCTGAAACTGGCAGGAAGGAGAAACCAAGGAAGAAGAATAAGAAGTAATATAGTGAAGGCCCATCCTGTTTCCTTCTCTTGCCAGCCGCATGCCCGTACCTTGGAGCCACCTCTCCATTCCCTTCCTCCACAGTTCCCTACCTCAGTCTCATCCCTCCCTCTTCTCTTAGGACTCTCTTTTCTTCCTTATTTGTACATTCTTATTTGGAAGACTTCAGATTGCCATGTGATTTCCATTTTCTTGGGTGTGAATTCTCTCTCAGGGTTGTCTCTTGTAGTGGTGGCTTTCCTGTGCAAGCTCAGGTTGCCTGTACAGGCAGCACCCGGCTTTCCTCTTCCTGTGTGTGGGCTTGAGGTGCCTCAGCTTGGTCTTGCAGGGTCTTACTAAGGGCCCTGGGCATTTGCCTGGTTCTCACTTCACCATGCAAGTCGCATTCCTGGCTCCAGTGCTTTCTGCACCATCCCAGCTCCCTTTTCAGGCTTCGCTTCCTCTATTTCTAATCTCCATTTTTTAAAATCCTGATTTTGAGCCCTGAATTGCATCTTGAAAAATTCTTTTATTCTTTTTTGCTGTTGGTTCTGCAGTCACCCTGGAGTAGAAGGAACTCCTGTGTGCTCACTCCACCATTTTGACAGGAAATCTGTCCTTTACCCATCAACTAGTCATCTTTCCAAACACACGTGTGAGCAGCCACCACACCGCAGGCCTTTCAGAGGCCCCCTTGCTTATCATCTTGTCCATGCCTAGACTGCTCCAGCACCCCCACCCCTGGATGGCCTCTCCTGGACTTTAGAAGCCCCCTCCGACATTGTCCCCAAACCCTGAGTGGACTTTACAGTGACTTTCCCTTGCTAAACACTTGCCTCTAACACCAATCTAAGTCCCTACTGGTGGTTTTGTATGCCGAGGGCCCGTTACAGTGGCTGGAACAAGAAACACAAAGGAGGCTTCTTGAACTGCTGCATGCCRGTGCCATTCCAGGTGTTCTTCAGGATAGCTAAATTTTGGTTTCCTGGAAAGCAGACCCTGAGATATGGACTTGGGTACAACTGATTTGGTTGGGATATGGCACCAGGGAGCTGAAATGAGAGCTCAGGGAGAGTAAGACAGGATTGAAATCCTACCCAGGAAAGGTACATTAGTGATCTGGTGACTGCTGGGCAGTGGRGGCCCATCCTACTGGGCATCTTCCCAAGGGACAGTATGACCTGTGTTGTACCTCTGAAGGATGGAGCCTGGGTCACGGGTTCTCTGCCCCATGGGTTGAGGGTCTCCCAGAGGTGGCAGCCATCCCACACTGCCTTGCTGGCTGGCTCAGAGGTTTTAGAAAGAGCCCCAGAGGGCACTCAAGATGGGACTGCCTATGTCCACAGGAACTGCTCACACAGTTGCCACTGAATCAGAGGTGGGCCAAGGACACTGGCAAGGGGTATGGAAAGCATCTGCCACCCAGACACTACACTGCTTTGTCCTCATAGCTATCCTATGGAGTGACACTCAGTCTTCCTTTCAAAGAACCCTGAAGTTAGAATTTGAAACCATTTTATTTTGTGGGTATGTGATTCTGGGGATTGAACCTGGGGCCTCACCCATGCTAAGCAAAGTTCTACCACTGAGTTATGCCTCCAGCCCCTAAAGCCATTTTTATCCGCCTTCAAAGGCAAGGTACTTTCTAACCTGTATCTGTACCTGTGTGCATGTCAGTGAAACGTCCCTTCATTAATATCTGTTCCTTGAGTATCTATTTGCACCAAGATGGATCAGGTCACCCATGGACCAGCTAGGCTGGTAAGATTCATCCAAAGCCACATATGCCTTTGGCTGTAGGAATGGAGTCAGGGCTGGGGGGTGGGGCTGGGAACCCTGTGTATAGGGAGGGTGGGGCACCTTATGATCCCACCTGCTCCTTCCTGGGCCCAGCCTGCTCACTTGCTGTGTGCCTCATGTCTTATCCATGAGTTAAATGTCGTCTTGTCTGTCTTATTTGGGTGTTGTCATGTTATACGGGATAAAATGCTTGGTGTGGTTCCTGGCATATTTGGGGACTCACTGTATTTCATGTAGGCAGAATCTGGGTAGGAGTCAGTGGGGGAAACTTGGGAAGGTGGGTAGGGGCCAAGGTGTAGCAGGAAGCTTATTTCTCCCACTTCCTTCCCTTTGGAGAAACAGGCCAGACCTTCTGAAAATGCTAGGTGACTTGCTTTTGGAACGAATATGCTTGGCAGAGCAGGAAGTTTCTGGAAAACACCTTGATGGTAAAACTGAGAAGACACTTCAGCAAATGGCCATTCAGCAAAGAGGTGAACTTGAACCTTTCGTCCAAGCCAGCTCATTCTCCAAGCCACATGATGAACAGAAATTGACTTGGGATCAGCTGGCAAAGACAGGCGAAGTGGCCAAGGTGGAGCTCAAGGATGCCTCAGTGCAGACTGTGGCCAAGGAGGGTGACCTGCTTGGGTTCCGACGAGGAGGAGAGAAGCCATCTGGCACCATATTGAATGCTGAGCCCCAGCCAGAGACCTGGTGCCAGCTGCCAGGGCACCAGGCCACTCCCCTCTCTGGCCCCTGTGCTAGCCACAAAGTAAGTTTGTGCAAACATTAATTATGATTTACTTTATACAAACAAAAACTTGAAAGATTACTTCCATTTTCCTGTTTTTGTGAAGAGACGGTCTGGTGTCTCCCCCTGCTTGGGCCGCTCCTGGCCTACGCCTGGAGGCCTGGGTCCTCCTTAGTTTTCCCATCTTCCCTCTCTCCCGCCATCCCCACCCCGGTCTCTCCTGTACCCCCGCACTATCTCATTTATCTGTATAGCATGGCATTTTGGTGTTTTCCTCAGAAAAATCCCACAGGGAATCACAGGCGCACGTCTGTCCGAGGCGTTCTCTTTCATACCATTTCACATGTCTTCTTAGAATAGGTGCATGAGAGTCCACTGTGAGGACACTTTCCCCCATGGACATTTCCTTTTATAGGATGCAGTGAAGTTGTAGTACTCCAACTTTGAGTAAGGATGAGACCTGGCTTTTATTTTGAGGACTTTTATAGGAAAGGTGTTGTTCTGAGAGCTTTGTCTATTGAAGCCAGGTTCTGAGTGCCCAGGTGTGGCAGTGCTTAAGGGCTGAGCTGAGGTTTACACTGTGTCTGACTGCACAGCCACACCCTCTCCCTGGTCAAGCTACCTGGCAGCCATGGTGGCTTGAAATGGTGGGGTCTGGTTTGATGAGCAGGTCTCTAATGTTGGTTTCCCTTCTACTTAGGGACTCTCCCTGAGCTTCTCTGCAGATTAGTCAGCTATGCCAGATTGTTAAGAATCAGACTTTCTTGGCAATGTTCTATTGGACAGCAGCCCCTATGGGAGAAGGTTGGGGTTGAGAATCCCTGTAGCAGGGAGATGTGTTCTGGTAGAGAGGGAAATAGGTCGGGTTTCTATTAGAGCTCCAGTGTAGACTGCTGTATTCTTACTTCTGACGGATGTTTTGTAGCAGAGAAATCCACTGTACACAGTGCTTCATAACATGAGAATGGAGAATTAAGTTTATTTTCTGACCACTAAATTACTGCTTTTGTGCATACCAAAGAGAGTTAGATATATCATTAGCAAAATTGCTTTTGATTGTTTTAAATTATGCACCAAAACTGTAATTTCTAGAAAAGGGTTTTCTAAAGATATCAGTAGAGACCAAAAAAAAAAAAAAAAACCTACTGCCATTATATTAATGGTACTCAAAATGCAAATTTGTGCAATTTGGCTAGAATAGAAATGCTCTTACCTGCCCCAGCTCCTTTGGTTTGTACCTGCATATTAGGAAAATGAGGTGGCTTTTTTTTGTTTTGTTGTTTTTCATTTGGTTTCTTTCTATTGTGTGGGAGATGCCATTCTGTGTTCAGGAAAATTGGATAATTAAATGGACTTAATTTCCCCAAATACATTAAATATTTTTTTTTTTAGTTTGAAATTATACTTCTTGCTTTTATTTTCAAAAGGAGGGAAACTGTTTATTTTTGTCATCTGCTATATATACCAGGGATTGGGCCAAATTCTGTTTCATCTTGTTTTATCTACTCACAAGGGCGTGAGTTTGGTATCACGCTCATTTTACTTATGAAGAAATGTTGGCATCATAAGGTCCAGAAAACTGTGCAGAGTGACTCAGCGGGCAGGTGGGGTGAGAGGCTGTGAGCTCGTCTGCTCATAGAGGCCGCAGAGCTGCATCACACACCTGCGTTCCTCCTGTCACCATCGTGGCTTCAGGGTATGCACAGAAACACTAGTGATTTTCTTTGTGACTTTGGTGGCCACAAAATTGATAATCCCATGGCTTAGGCCAAACTCTGTTTTCCTGTTATGAGGAGCATCATGGTAGCCGAGGCTGACCGAGACTGGTGTCCTCCTGGTTGTTCAGTCAGGGCTGAGCAGGCGTGCTTTTTACGGGCATGCCTCCCTGTGTTTGAATTGGGCTTGGCCTCTTACCTGGTTGAGTTTTGGGGTGGGAAGTCACCTGACCTCTCTCAGTGGCTGGAATGGGACAGTGTGACCTAGACCCTGGGGCTGGCCTGGTGGCAGAGTGAGGCAAGGTGTTGCACATGCCTAGGGCTGCACTTTGTACCTGGTAGGAGCCCACAGTGCCTGGGCTCCTGTCCTCCTTCATTCCCAAGTAAAAAGTTCCAGTATGTCATGGCTATTTAGGTGGAAGGTGGGACTGTGTTTGGAGTCCATAAGTAGCACTCTGTGTGGCACTCCTTTAGGCCTGGCATTAGGTTGACTGATGCCATCTTCCAGTCTGAGAGTGGCTTTAGCATTTGTGCACTTGAAGATATCTTTTCTGCCGCCACATGACACACAGATTTGGAACCAAAAATACAGATTGGTGGAGACAAATGACTGGTATTTTCTGACCATTGTTGTTGAGGCAACAGCCTCCTCCCAAGTGGTCCCCTCACCTCCTCTGTCTTCTTTCCTGGAATGCCAGGTGGAAAGCATCTCACTTCCTGAGCGCTGGGGACTGAAGAGCTGATTTGAGCCTGATCATTGTACCTTCTTGTGGTTTGACATTGGACAAACATAGGTGTTTGATGTTTCAGCTGTTCATCTGGAAAATAGGCAGGATGCCTTCTATTCTCCCATGAGCTCGGAGAATGCAGCGCTTACTTGAGGGGCATGGGAGACTGTTTGAAAGCATTTTACACCCCAGAGTGTGCAAGAAGAAGGGCCCCTACTGTTCCTTCTTCCCGAAGGGACTTTGGTGATTTCTTCATACCTCAGGTGCCAAATATTTCCTTTTAAAATTTTGAGTACCTTCTTTTTCACCATTTAAAAAATTTAACAACTTTATTGAGATATAATTCACATATATCATATAATTTATATATCATCCATTTAAAGTGTACATTTCAGGGGCTGAAGTTGTGGCTCAGCGGTAGAGCATTCATCTGGCACATGTGAGGCACTGGGTTCGATCTCAGCACCACTTAAAAATAAAATAAAGTCCACCTACAACTAAAAAAAAGATTCTAAAAAAATAAAGTATACATTTCAGTGTTTTTTTTAAAACAAATGAACAGTTTATTAAGAATTAAATAAGGGTATCAATGGTTTTTAAGTCTATTCAGAGTTGTATAACTATTACTAATCAATGCTAGATTTTTTGGGGGGAGGGTACAAGAGATTGAACCCAGGGGCACTCGACCACTGAGACACAGCCCCAGCCCTATTTTTTTGGTATTTTATTTAGAGACAGGATCTCACTGAGTTGAGGCTGGCTTTGAACTTGTAACCTCCTGCTCAGCCTCCCGAGCCATTGGGATTACGGATGTGTGCCACTGTGCCTGGCTGCAATGCTAGATTTTTGTCAACCTGAAAAGAAACCCTGTACTCATTACCAGCCACGCCCAATCCTAGGTAACCACTGACTCTAGGTCCACCTGTTCTAGACATTGCATATGGATGGGATCATGCGCTATGTGGCTTCTTCCACTTAGCATAATGTTTCCAGGGTCATTCATGCTGAAGCATGGATCAGTACTTAAATTTATTTTTGTTGCCAGGTATATTCTAATGTATGGTCGTGCCACATTTTATTAATCTATTCATCAGTTGATGCAATCTGAGCTGTTTCTGCTTCCTGGATATTAGGAATGATGTTGCTCTTCATGTACAGATTCTTGTGTGACATATGTTTTCATTTCTCCTGGATGTCTTCTTAGTGGTAGAATTGATGGGTCACATGGTAACTCCTTCTTTAATTTCTTGAAGAACTGCTGGGCCTTTTTCTGAGCAACCCCATCCATTTTATATTCTTCCCAGCAGTGTGTGAGGGTTCCAGTTTCTGGGTTCTCACCAACACTGGTTATCTTTCTGATTATAGCCATCTTAATGGATATGAAGTGATGGTGTTTTATTATGATTTCATTTACGTGTCTCTGATGACTAATGATGTCGAGAATATTTTCATGAGTTTATTAGTTAGCTATACGACATTTTTGGAGAAATATCTATTGGGTCTTTTGCCCATCTTTTTTTAAAAATTAAATTATTTATTCTAATTTGTTATACATGATGGCAGAATGCAATTCATTTCATATTACATATACATTTGTGTCTTCATACATGTATTTAGGGTAACTCATTCCACCATCATTCCAGTCTGAGAGTGGCTTTAGCATTTGTGCACTTGAAGACATCTTTTCTGGAATGGTTAACTCATTCCAACATCATTCCTACCCCCTTGCCCTATCTAAAGTTCCTCCATTCCTCCCATCCCCCATTCCCATCGCCATTATGAATCAGCATCCTCATATCAAAGAAAACATCCTACCTTTGGTTTTTTGGGATTGGCTTACATTATTTAGCATTATATTTTCCAACTCTATCCATTTACCTGCAAATGCCATGATTTTATTCTCTTTTAATGCTGAGTAATGTTCCATTATGCCAAAGTTTCCCTGTCCATCATCTACTGAAGGGCATCTGGGTTTGTTCCACCATTTAGCTCTTGTGCTACTATAAACATTGATATGTTTTGCCCATCTTTTAATTGAGCTTTTTTTTCTTTTTACTGAGTTATGTTAGTTCTTCATGTATTTTAGACTCAAATTCCTCTCCGCAGCTTTTGGGAATGTTTAAAATTCCCCACTTGAAAGATACCTCATTGGGCCTCTGCAGTTATAGTTTGTATGTACAGCCCACAGTGTTGAGAGCCTACCGTGAACTAGTTCTTGGGCTGGAAGCTGGGGACCAAGATATGTGCAGCCTGGAGCTTACAGGCCGGTGCAGAAGATAGTGAACATGAAATCATAATGAGACTACTCATTTCCTCCGAGGAGAATTATAGGGGACACTGACTGTATAACAGGGAGGCTCAGCTTGGTCTTGGAAATCAAGGTTCTCTCGAGGAAGACATGTTGAGCTGAGTGCTGATGAATGATTTTAGGGTAAGTGGAGGAAGTGGGTATGGGCAAGAGTGAGCATTCTAGGCAAAGGAGTCATTATAGGCCACGGCCCTGGGGTGCAAGGGGAATGTGCATTTTGAACAATCGACAGAGGTCAGTGTGGCTGGAGAGTGGGGTAGAGTGGGAGAGAGGCAATGATGCAGACTGCAGGTTCTGCAGGATTTGCAGGCTGTGGTATGGACTTGGACCTTTGTCGTAAGAGAACCAAGAAGCAATTACAGTAGTTTTAAGCAGAAGACTAGCAGGCTTGTCTTTTTGCCTCAACGTGAAGAGTGGATAGAGAGAGCAAAGGTAAACGCAGGAGACCACTCAGGACACCCAGGCTATGGCCCAGGAGAGCTAGTGGTAGCTAGTGGTGGAAGTGGAGGCTGGGAAGAGTTGAAAGAGTTGAGAGAAACGGAGTTGCTGGAATTTTCTGAACCCCATGAGTGAAGAAAGTGCATGATGAGAATAAAGAGATGGTTCAAAATGATGCCAGGTGTCTGGATTGTGCAGTAAGTGGACGGTCATGTGATTTACCAAGACAGACAGTAAGACAGTGGCATAGACCTGGGAACACAGTGTAGTGGAAGTGAAGAGTTGAATTTTCAGTTGACCCTGGACAGCTTGTAAGGCATTGCAAATGAAGATTCCCAGGATGAGCAGTTTGGGAGCTCCCGGCTGGAAACTCTGTAGCCCCTGGCATAAGGGGTTGTTCTGGTGGCCCAACAGTAGGGGGAAGGAAGATTGGCTTACACTAGGAGTGGGCGAGAAAGAGGAAATAGGGTAAAAAGAAAAAAAAAAAAAAGTTTTCCAGAAGATTGTGTTGGAAAAAGAACTGCCACACGTGGAGCATCTGGGTCATCTGGGAGACAGTGGGTCCTGCCTGAGAGGGTGTTGGGGAAGCTTGACATAGATACTGTTATAGGACCCAGAAGTCTGGGCAGCCAGTTGGAAACTACTTTATAGGATTAGCATGAGGATGTCAACCATGAACCATGTACTCATTGTTGTGTGTGTGTGTGTGTTTTTTTTTCCCCAGGATACTAAGAAGTCCCGCTTGCCCATCCTCATAAAACCATCCCGGTCATTAGGAAATATGTATCATCTCCCCGCCACCCAGGGGGTGATAGCTCGGCTACAGGGCCAGATCCTAGAGCTGCAGGGGGAGCTGAAGGAGTTTAAAACTCGCAATAAGCAACTGCACCAGAAGTTGATTCTGGCTGAGGCAATGATGGAGGGGAGGCCAATGCCTGACCCGATGCTGCTGAATGGTAAGCACCAGGAGAAGCACCTTCTCCATGAACCAGGTGGCCCGGAGAGCTACCTGAAGTGTCCACCTTGTTGTTTAGTATAAATTTCATGATTTGCAGTGACTATTCTTAACTCTTGACAAATATATAATGGAGGAAAACAATACAGAAGATAAATCTATTGCTTTCTTTTTATCCTGGAATCTGGGTAAACAGGATTTGTGGTGCTCTTAGGTCTTGGGTTTCTGCTGCCTTCCCTTGGAGTTGTGTGCAGGTGCCCAGTTGTGCTATGTGTTGAAGCTGGGCATCTTGGCCTGGCTCTGTCTTTGGAAGCCATAGGCATACAAAATAGGAAAGTGAATGTCCCCTTTAGAGGATTCTCTGGACTCTCCAGGCCATCTTGGAGCAGATTTGGAACCCTAGTGACCTCGTATCTTTGTCTAGAAGAGACCTACCTCCTCACTCACTTTGAATCTGCTGCCTCTGGTCTCCTGGGTGCCATTRGGGGGCTGGGGAAGAGTCCCTGGGTTAAAAATGTGCCTAATGTTCACTATCCAGAGACTTGGAGGAAGCACTTTAGGTGCCCTCTGGGAATCTAAGAATGCTGGGAGTCCTCTTGCAGAAGGGTAAGGTCAGCACATAAGTAGCGTTTTACATCATTGCCTCAGGATCTGTGTGAGTCCACGTAAGTACCCAGTGAGGTAGGGAGCGAAGAGAGCATGACACCTCAGAAAGTGAGTAGAGAGAGGTTAGCTGTGTCAGACATTGCTAGTAGGTGCCTCAGACAAGGATCGAGGGTGGACCTTGGGATTTGACATCAGGGGCTTTAAAGAGCTGTTTCTATGGAATGTGTGGGGCTTGATTGGCCTGGATTACCATGGAGAATGGAGGAGAAATGTTGACACCAAGAACAGACACCTCTGGGAGATTGCACTGTCAAGAGACACAGAGAAATAGGGAAGCCAGGAGCCAAATTATCAGTAAATCTCCAGGGATCTGGTAAACCAGCGGATGACCAAGGATGGCTGCAGTAAGGTAAGATTAGCAGCATGGTCTGGCAACATGAGCTTCGAAGTTGGAGCTTTGGGGGGAAGAGACAGAATGATCTGGAAGTGGCAGTGAAAAGCAGAAGTACTTACGTACTTCTAGATCCATGATACAGAGATGGGTGAATAATTCACTACAGGGAAGCCTGCAGAAGAAACAGTGTCCTCAGGGACAGCCTGGGCCACTTAGCATAAATGGGTGAGATGAATTTTCAGAGAAAAGATTGATGGTCTTTGCCAAGAAGGGTGTGAGTACCAGGGGAAGATTGTGTCCAATCAGGGGATTCTCAGAGATGGGTCGGAGATGGTGTGGGAGGCTTGGATTTCCTGTGGTGCTAATAAAATGAGCACCTGCTGTTTGTTGAGCCCTACTATGTATAATAAGTACACAAGCCAACTGAATCCTCCCAACAGTGTCTCTTTCTTAAGTGGAGGCAGCAGTTTCAGAGAGAAGTGCCTTGTCTACAGTCCCACAGTTAATAGCTTTCAGAATTGGATGCCAAGCAGCCTGCCTGCATTCAAAGTCTGCATTCTTTCCTCTTTCTTGAAGCCTAGTCTATGATACTTCTGTAGATTTTATGATCTGCAGCCAGAGGTATCTTACATTAGGTTCTCTCTTGGATTTTCCACAGTTGAAGTTTCAAGGTAGGTTGGCTTGGGCAGAATTGTTCTTCCCTCTTTCCTTTCCCACCTTCTGTCAATCCGTTCTTTCACCATCTAGGCATCTGTTCATGCATGCAATGAGTAGTCCTCAGCACCTGCTGTGTCCCCAGCCCCTCACACTAGTAGGAGCTGTGACTCAGATGCAGCCTCTGCCTTCTGGGAGCATCCTGTCTAGTTGGGGTGGGGGCAGCTGCAGATAATTAGTACTGTGCAGGGATGTGGGGGCTACAGAAAGGTTTTTTTCCTTTCTTGCTGAGATATTAGGTGTCTCAACCAGATGCTGCTCAGGTTGTTTCCCAAAAGACCCTGGGGCCTCTCTCTGTGAAAAGTGGGCATGAGTTGATGGAATTCATTTTCTCACTCATAGTTTTTTGAGAGCCTGGACTTAAACCATTTCAGACAAGCTGCAGTATATTTATGCTTTTTATGTCCTGTTATGGCAGCTCAATAGATTAATTTTATCTTATAAATTTCATTTTGCCTCCCCAGTGTTTTTATTTTCCCTGTTGTATCTTTGTGTTCTTCTCAGTTGCTTGGCCAAGTTTCAAGTCTATCGTTTTATTTTTCTTTCTCTTTGCCAGTGCCTGCAGCTCAGCCCCTTGTGGGACCAGCCTACCAGCAGAGCCCAGGAGAACAGATGGGAACCACTGCCATGCCCTCTGCTCACAAAGACAGGGAGGTGGACGACAACCAGCAGACAAGCCTCAGGACGGGTCAGAACTCAGCCCTGTGTGCATTAGGCAGCTACTGGGTGCCAGGCTAGGCCCATAACAACCCTCTCAGCGCATTAGCATCGCTCCCGTCTGACACAGGGGACTCTAGCCCACGTCCGTCACCCAGCTGCCAAGCGGGTGGAAGAGCTCGTGGTCCATTTGACAGGCCCTGTGTCAGGCAGTGTGTGGGTTCTGGTGGCTGAGCCTGAGCAGACACGCTGCCTGTTCTCAAGGTGCCTCAAAAGCCAGGGCCGGTCAACACAGCAGCCTGTGAGTGTTCAGTGTGGTGCTGCCGTTTGGAGGTGTGCACAGAGTCGGTCAATGGGAACATGTAGAGGTGTGAGTGAGGCCACTGTCAAGTTCTATGTCCTTTATAAAAAATTAGAAAGTATTACTAGTGTACAGGTAAATACAAAGGATCATAAARCATGTACCCGCCTTCCCATTAACCAGAATGAGCGAATCCTTATTTTTTTCTTTTTAACTTAGATCTTTTTCATTTAACTTAGATCCCCTTTGTTAAAAAACAAATAGTATTATTCTGGATCTCCTTCAATCTGTGAGAAGTAATGACCATGAGGAATAGTAAATCCGTCATAGGATGGCCATGGGAACACCAGTCTCTGGAGAAAGGCCGTGCTATGGCCCTGGTCCTGTTGGCTAGAAGTCAGGGCAGTGAATGAATGGTCACATGCTCCTGGGTGTCCTGGGCTTTGAGAAGAAAAGTACTTTACCAGGCAATATTACTACTACTTGGTTCAATTGTGGAAAGTTCTAGAACTACAATATTTTTTACTATGCAAATGAATGGTTCTGAGGACATCTTTGGCATTCTTGTTAGTGATTATTGGAGCCTTCTTGACACTTTCCCTTTTCCTTTCACTGTGGCCTTCCTGTAGTTTTCTGAATGTGCATCCAGGACTTTGCACCACCATTGTCACTGCTCCCCAGCCACTGCCTAGCTGAAGCTCCCTCCTTAGATCTAGTCCTAAACTTTTGTTTTCATGGGAGCACTCCTGCATCCCCCAGGATTTGAGCACTGTTAGCCCCCATATCCCTCCCGGCCACCAGCTGGTGTTGAGTTGACTTGCCCAGTAACTGTCCTCAGGAATGGGGCTGTGTGGGGCCCTTTCCTGCTGTTTCTTCTTCAGGAGCCCCATTGTACACACTTGGGGTATGAATGATGGGTTGCACAGGCATGACTGGCCTTCCCACTGAGGGTGCACAGCTACCTCTTTACTCATGCACCCCAATGCAGGAGACCCCTGCTGTGGGAGCTCTGTGAAAGAGGCAGCTTTTGGAATGTCATGGGCAGGCAGTCAGGCTTTGACAGAGGTCCCTGCCGCTCACTCGTTATGAACCTTGGGCAAATTCTCAAGCTTCCTAAGCCTGGACTTCCTCTTCTATACAATGGGGATGGCAGTGGTGCTCCACAGGGTTGTGGTAGATAGACAGCCTAGGTGAGGTGCTTGGTGCCCAGGCCAGGTCCTGGCACACAGCTATGTGYCCTGAGGCCTTGGTCAACCTGCAGGTTTACATGTACGCCACAGCCTGTAAGCTCCCCGTGCCCCAGGCCTTCTGGGAGGCGATATTAAACTGAGCAGTGGAAGCAGCTCCTTTGGCTCTTCACTGAAGGTCGCCAAGCAGAGAACAGCAAAGCCTCATTGCCATGCTGCTCTGGCTGTGAGACTTGCTGAATGCTGGCCTTGGGGCCAGTAAATCAAATCCTTGCCTCTGCTAAATCACAAATCGCTAGAGATTATGGACTTTGGGGGGTGTTTCTGAAGTCAAAAGTATTGAGTGTGAAGTGTCTGAAAGTTATATTTGTTGCATTGTTAGGAAAAAAGTTTACAGTGGAAGTCTCAGTGTGAGTAGAGAGGGCACTCCCCAGACATTCTTGGGGTGTAGCCAGACATCAGAGCTGACCACAGTATATCACAAAGGGACATTCCTATGGGACTTAAATTTGTCTTTACCTCATGATTTCTTAATGAAAGTTATTGGAACTAACCTTTAGTTCTATGAGCAAATGTTGCTTCTTGCCGTGAACCAAATTCCATTTTAATGAGGTTGTTGTAGTACAGATACATCCTTATCTATTGGGGTGATGCACTGGAACAGAGCCTGGTTGAGAGGTCTGTCCCTCGTGCTCATGTGTGTGCTCTTATACTCTTCAGCCAGAAGTATTTACTGAGCACCTTCTCCTAGGCACTGTGCCAGACAGTGGAGAAACCGATGAATGCTGGTCTCCACCCTCCAGGACCTCATAAACAAGTTATCCTATCAACTCTGTACAGCAAAAATTGTATAATTCTTTTAGGTCACATGGTAGCTGTTATCCAAAATGAAAAGGTTTACTTTATAGTATTTGCACTGTGAGCAGAGACGAGTGGACCTACAGCTATAAGGAACAGATTTTGAACCAGCAGTTGGAACATGCAGCCTCACAAGGACGCATCTGTGATTTTCTGAGAGGTGTCCTGGGTCACCTGCTGCAGACTGCATCGCTGCTCCCCAGTACCTGGGGCCAGCCTTGGCTTGTGTGCCTCCTACCATGGGCCTGGCCTTCTGTCTTTGAGTGGTTCTGGGGATGTTCGTATTGGCTGGTCTCCGTGGCTCTGCTCCAGACACCATGTCAGCCTTTTCACAGACATTTCCATAGAATCCTAAAAAGCAAACACACACAACTCTTCACAGTGAATGAACCCCTTTGCATTTTAGAGATGAAGTTACTGAGGCTCAGGGAGGTCAATTAGCCTACAACTGAAGTCATGCAGCTTTTCTAGCAGTGGGCAAAGCCAGTGCTAGAAAACACATCTGTTGGGTTTCAAAGATGAGTTTTTCCTACTGTCTCCAGCTGACTCAGGTGCTCATTTCTTGAGCTTTCCTGGTTGGCAGGCACATGGTGTAGTGATTAAGGACAGAGGCTGTGAGTGAGGCCTGAGTTCAAACCTCACACAGCCACGTGAGGCATCTCTTTCCTTATTTTCCATATAGGGTAAATTGAGGCTCTGGGATTATAATTTCCTATCCAAGGCGGTGCAGCCAGCAGGTGGCAAGTCTGTGTGTGATTCTCCTGCTCTTTGGCCCCAAAGTTCTGCTTTGTCTCTGTTCTGCAGTCCACTTCTCAAACCAGTTGGGCTGCATCTCTGGTATTTGAGCCAGCTAATAGACAGTGGCTCCTGACTGGCGTGAGTCAGTGAAACAGCTCACACTCAAGGGGACATCAAGGCGTCGCCCGGAAACTCACCAATGCTGAAAGGAGGACTCTTCTGTTATGGATGTATAGAAGTACCACTCTGTAATGTTGCCTCAGAGTCCCTCAGTATTTCCCAGACTGTTAATGAGTTCTACCTGTGCTAGGTACTATATTAAGCACTGAGAAAGTGAGGATGAAAGGACCCAGTCCTGCTGAAGAGAAGCATGCAGACTGGTTATTAATTGCTGTGTAAATGCTGACTGTGGTGCCTGCTTTGGCCCCCAGCTTGTGGTGCTTTGTCATGGTAATAAGTGTAAGATGCATGGAGGGGAGTGGCTTTTGCATAGTTAGGAGATGGGGCTTGCAGGGGAGGAAAATGAGAGCTAGCACTGAAGGACAAGTAGGGTTCACTGAGTAGGAATGGAATGGAGAGCTGAGGGTAGGCTACTCCAGGCAGAGGGCACAGCTTATGTGAAAGTGTTGGAGGCATGAGTCCACACACCGGGCATTGGGAATCATAGTCAGTTTCTGGAAAATCTCCTAGCTGGTGTGGGGTGATATTCCTGGAAATGTTGCCTGGAATCAGATCATGGAAGGTCTCAGGTAGGGAGTGGGGATACTGATGAGTTTTGATATATAGTTGGTTTATTATGGTTATGTTCACTCTTTGAACTTTTTTTTCTGAGAAAGAGGTTGCATTGAGAGGTGAAAGGGTATGTTAGTTTTCTATCGCTGTGACTAAACCCTAAGATCAACTGAGAAGGAGGAGAAGTTTATCTTAGCTTCAGGTTTCAGAGGTTTCTGTGAGTAGTTGCTTGGCCCCGTTGCTTTGGGCCTCTGGTGAGGCGAACGTCATGGCAGGGAGCAGCAGTCGAGCCAAGCTACTCACCTCCTGGTGTCCAGGAAGCACAGGGGAGGAGCAGTCCCCAGTGAAGCCACTTTCTTCTACTGGTTCCCTCTTCTAAAGGTTCCCAATAGAGCCACAGCCGAGTGAACAAGACCTTCGCAAATGGGCCATTGGGATATATTTAATATCCAAATCAAACAGAAGGAAGGGCCAGGGACAGGTATGCTTGTTAGGAGGCTGTTGCTTTGTCTTGGTTCTGCTGTGGCAATAACTGGGGGGGCAGATGTGGATTGTAGCACAGGAGATGCTGACATACACATATTTGATTTCCAGATCCTGAAATTTGTCTGTCTGATGATGTTCCCATATTACCAGCATGCAAGGAGAATTCTGAAGATTTTCTGGGCCCAGCGTCAGTAGCTACTCACTTGAGTTCTAAGAGTCAGCTTTCTGTTAAAGGCAACATGACTGAGACTGACCAATCTGAGAACATCAGTACCTCAAATGATGTGGAAAACTTAAAACAGAAAATCTGTGACTTGGAAGCTGAGCTGGCGGGCTACCGGGATTTCATATTTCAGCTTCAAAAACACTCCCAGTGCAGTGAGGCCATTATTACAGTTTTGTGTGGGACAGAAGGGGCCCCAGATGGGTTGAATAAGCCCAAGGGCAGTACTGATGAAGAAGAAATGACCTTTTCCAGTTTGCACCAAGTGCGATATGTGAAGCACATGAAAATCCTCCATCCTCTGGCCCCAGAGATGATTGATGGCAGGATGCTAGAGGGCCTCAAGCAGCAGCTGCTGGACCAGGAGGATGAGTTGCAGAAGGAGCAGAATTTGAACTTGGAACTCTTCAGTGAAATCCACAACCTACAGAATAAGTTCAGAGAGATCTCACCCTCGAGGTACACTCCACCTCTGCCTTTTCCCCACTTAAGTCTGCAGTCCATCCATGTTGCCACTAGGCGGGAGCTCGTGAGCTACAGGGAACGGTGCTGTGTGGCAGGTGGTGTGTGTGATAGGGAAGGCAGTCAGGCCCGTGGAGAAGTCAAATGTGAGGCCACAAACATGGTGCCCACGCACACTAACACCATTTACAAATCTTCTGAAGTTGGCAGGGCAAAGTTTGCCCTCGTCAGGTTGGGGCCTGGGAGAGGTTTCATACCAATCGCTGGGTGAATTATAGCGCTGTGGCTGAACTGCAGTGTTTACTCCTGGACTGTATTATTGGCTTTTGCTGCTCTGTGGAACTAACACTGACGTCCTAGGCAGGGTAGGAGGAATATAATTATTTTCCATATCTTTACCCTTTAAGGTCATCTTAGAGAAATAAGCCTTTGTTGAAAGAGAAGAATTCTTAGGTCATGAAGATAATGCTTTATGAGTATAAATAGATACAGTTTTGCTTCATGAGATATGGCAAAAATGGGATCATTTGTAAAGTTGACCTTCATCCATCATTAATTTGAGACAAACACATTGTTCTGGATTGTCGGGAGGCAGAGTGAGTTTTTCAAGACTTCCCAAGCGGTGAGGTTGAAGGAGGCTTGTATTTTTTTGACTGGCTGATACGTGAGGCCTCTGGTTAGGAACTTCCCTTATTTGATCCTCCAAAGTTCCCTGAGTAAGAGGTGCTCTAAACTTGTTTTTATAGATAAGAAACAGCCTCACATAGGTTGCTGTGACCTGCCTGTGAGTGTCCACAACTGGTCAGAAGCGTTGCCAGGTTTCAGACCTACGTAGTCCCACTCTGGTACCCATGTTCCTCTTCCTCTGTTAAACTGATCCCCATCCTTAATACTGGCATGTCCATTCATGGCCTTGAAAGTGCTGGCATGAGGGAAGGGGAACATGTGAACAGAAGTGTCTGCCAGGCTTCTCTGGAGCCAGGCTGCTGTGGCCACAGTGTATATGGGCCACTTTGTCACCTACTGACACTGTGGGTCCACAGGGGAAAGATGGCACTGGTGGCCGGGAGCGAGGCAGTGCTGCATGAGAGCTTTGCATTTAGAGATGGTTAGAATCCTACAAGTTCACCACATTTCCAACTTTCGCTCTGTTTCCTTTTCTATAAAAGCGGGAGTTCATCAGATAACAAATACAGTATTTCTCTCAGTGACTGAAAGGTCCTAGACACTCACTGAATGGTGGCTTGGAGCAGGATTATTCCCTGACCTTTTTGTTGACAGGAGAATCCTGGCTTTTCCCCCTGCCATACACTTTCTTTTTTGTACTTCTTAAGGATTTTGGGTGGCTTTGCTAACCCTTGTTTCTGAATCTCGCATAGTGTTTTTGAAGAGTATATGGAAACTAATTGTTCTTCAGAGTCCTTGCCAATCTCTACTTTAATTGGGGGCTTTATAAGGTTAAAAATATTGCAGAAAGATCTTAGTTCTAGCATTCATTGGCTATTTGAACTCAAAGGAGTGACCTTGTACAGTTTCATTTTTTTCCTAACATATATATCCTTGTACAGCTGCAGGCTTTTAAAAATTTTGCTATGTCATTTTTCCAATTAGTGCTAAGGTCACAAAAATTCAATTCTGAAATGGCAAAAGCATTTTCTTTCCCCCTTTTATCAGATACGATTCATTAGTTCAGTCCCAAGCCAGGGAGCTGTCCCTTCAGCGGCAGCAGATTAAGGACAGCCACGGCATCTGTGTCATGTACCATCAACATGTGAACACCATGATCAAGGCGTTCGAGGAGTTGCTGCAGGCCAGCGACGTGGATCACTGTGTGGCCGAGGGCTTCCAGGAGCAGCTGAATCAGTGTGCAGAGCTCCTAGACAGACTGGAAACTCTGTTTCTCAATGGTAAGTGGGCTGAGGGACATGAGTACTACCACATGGAATTGATTTGGGACTTCTTAGATGGGCACGGAAGGAAGTGACTCCTTACTGTTAGTTACCTACTGCAGACCTTGACCAGGTGGCAGCGGAACCACACTACTGGCCACTTCTCCTCCAGTGGCCACTTCCACATGGCTGCAATCTGCACTGTCCAAGCCAGGAGTCCAGTTTCGATGCTTCTGGGGCCACACTGGGGAGGTACATCAGTGAAGCCAGCCAATGGGTGCTGTCCTCAGCCATGGCCATGTGGTTGCTTGTTCTTGCAGATTTTCTAGAGAAGATGAGAATTGGTCTTTCCTTCCCTGTCCTTCATTATTTGTCATCTTTTTTTTTTTTTTTTTTTTGCTGAAAAATCATGAGTTTTAGACATTGGCAACCAAAAAAAAAAAAAAAAAAATCCCTGTTCAAGCAAACAAAATCTTTATCAGTTAAGAAATATATCTAAGGGTCCAATTGGCCAGAAAGGGGTGAAAGGCTGGTCCTTTGCTATTTGCAAGGTATTTTAATAATGTTAATGCAATAAACCTCTTTTTTCTTTCTTGAGACCATAAGAAATCCCACATAGCCTCCCTTGGCTATCAGTTGTTAGCATTTTGCTGCATTTGTTTGCTACATTTCCCCCACTTCCCCTACACACACACACACACACACACACACACACACACGTTATCATCTTTCTGAACCCTGCAGGGATGTGTTGGCTACATATCCCTTCCCCTGTCTATATCAGTGTGTAGTTTTTCAGGTCAAGGACATTCTCCTTCACACCCATGGTACAATTATCAAAGTCAAAAGTAGCACATTATCTAATATACCATTGTATGATATATAGTAGAGATTCAGATTTTTTTTTTTTGCTTTTTAATACCCAGCTTATTACTTTTTTTGCATTACAATCCTTATTACACATATAGAGCACAATTTTTCTTATCTCTGTTTATAAAGTATGTTCACGTCAATTTATACCATTATACAAGTACTTTTTTTGCATTACAATTCTTAATACACATATATACCACAATTTTTCATCTCTGTTTGTATATAAGGTATGTTGACACCCAATTCAAGTCTTTATACATGTACTTTTATAATGATGACCATCACATTCCACCTTATCCTTGCTAATCCCCTTCCCCCTCCCTTTCCTTCTCACCCCTCTTCCCTATCTAGAATTAATCTAATCCTCCCGTGCTGTCCCTTCCTAACCCACCATGAGTCACTCCCCTTATATCAGAGAAAATATTTGGCATTTGTTTTTTTTGGGATTGGCTGACTTCACTTAGCCTTATCTTCTCTGGTGCCATCCATTTACCTGCAAATGCCATGATTTTGTTCTTTTTTAATGCTGACTAATATTCCATTGTGTATAAATGCCACATTTTTTTAATCCATTCATCCACTGAAGGACATCTAGGTTGGCTCCACAGTTTAGCTTTTGTGAATTGTGCTGCTATAAACATTGATGTGGCTGTGTCCCTGTAGTATGCTGCTTTTAAGTCCTTTGGGTATAGTCTGATAAGAAGAATAGCTGGGTCAAATGGTGGTTTCATACCCAGTTTTCCAAGAAATCTCCATACTGCTTTCCAAATTGGCTGCACCAATTTGCAGTTTCACCAGCAATGTATGAGTGTACCTTTTCCCCGACATCCTCGCCAACAGTTGTTGTTTGTCTTCATAATAGCTGCCATTCTGACTGGAGTGAGATTAAATCTTAGAGTAGTTTTGATTTGCATTTCTCTGATTGCTAGAGATGATGAGCATTTTTTCATATATTTGTTGGTTGTGTATCCTCTTCTGAGAAGTGTCTGTTCAGGTCCTTGGCCCATTTGTTGATTGGGTTATATGTTTTTTTGGTGCTTAGCTTCTTGAGTTCTTAATATACACTAGAGATTAGTGCTCTAACTGATGTCTGTCTCATTCCTACCCTGTTCCCCCTCCCCTCCCCWTCCCTCCCCTCCCCTCTGCCACTCCAAAGTTCTTTTACTCATCCTATGTTCCATGCCACCCAGTGGATTAGCATCCACTTATCAGAGAAAACATACTGCCTTTGGTTTTGGGGGATTGGCTTACTTTACTTAGCATAATATTCTCCAACTCCATCCATTTACCTGCAAATGCCATAATTTTATTTTCTTTTAATGCTGAGTAATATTCCATTGTGTATATATACCACAGTTTCTGTGTGCATTCATCTATAGAAGGGCATCTAGGTTGGTTCCACAGTTTGGCAATTGTGAATTGTGCTGCTATAAACATTGATTTTTCTGTATCACTGTRGTATGCTGTTCTTAAATCCTTTGGATATAGACTGAGGAGTGGGATAGTTGGGTCAGATGGTGGTTCYATACCAAGATTTTAAGGAATCTCCATACTACTTTCCAGATTGGTTACACTGGCAATATATGAGTGTCCAAGCCCTCTTTGTATATTTTATTTAGAGACAGGGTCTTGATGAGTTGCTTAGGCCTCACTAAGTGGCCGGGGCTGGCTTTGAACTTACTCTCCTCCTGCCTCGGCCTCCTGAGAACCACTGGCATGAGCCACTGCACCCATCTCAATGTTTTTTGTTTGTTTGTTTGTTTTTGTTTTTTAATGAAAATTTTTATTCTTGATTCTGATCTAGGTTCTAGTACCCATGTTACTTTTTTKTTCTTCGTTGTTCTAGGGATTGAACCGAGGGCCTTGCACATGCTGCGCAAGCACTATACTTCTGAGCCACACACCCCAACCCCATGTTACCATTAGTTGACATGGCTCTGTGGTCTCTTTAATCTGGAGTTGTTCCTCACCCTTTCTTTATCTTTTGTGATATTGATGTGCTTGATGGGTTTAGATTGGTCTCTCATTTTGGGATTACCAGCTGTTTCCGTATAATCTGATTTATGGTTGGATTAGAGTACTTATTCAGCTTTGGCAAGAATGTCACATAGATGACATTTTGTTCTCATGATATCCTAGGAAGAAGGCACAGGATTCACTTCTCCCATTTTCATTGACACCTTCATGAGCCACAGTGGTGTCTGTCTGGTTTCTTCACTGTAAATTATATTTCCCTGTGTAACAGCTAGCTGGTGGGACTACTTTGTAACTCCTGAAGTAGGCCATTCATGTTTGAACGTTTACACAGGAGTTTATACCATTCCTGGATTCTTGCTCCAGTCAAATATCACAATGGTTGAGGCAATGTGGTTTTGTTTTTCTCTAACATCAGCATTCCTCTTCCTTTATTATCAGGTAACAGTTAAAAGAAGGATGCATTCTACATTAGTTTCCTTTATTTCTGTATTTGTTACTTGTTAATTATCAATATAGGCTTATAGATTATTTTATTCAGCGGACTTTTCCCCATTCTTTTTTTCATGTTGATGCTCAAATTGTTTCAGATTGTTAAATTGCATATTCCAAAGGTGGACACGTCTCCCTCATTTCAGGAATCCTTTCTTCCTTTCAGCCACAACAAAGATGATTAGTCTTCTTACACTGTGCCTTTCTCCAAGTCAGTCATTTCTCCAAGTAGGCTTGGTTTCTTTCAGTGGGGAGTGCTATTTAAAATCCAAGACTCAGTGCTGAGTGTGTTGATGGCCACTAGAGTGTGTTTCCAGGCCCTCAGGCAGACAGAACTGGTGTGTGTGTATGTAAATATTAAATTCATTTTAAACTCATTGCTTCACAATGTTACCCGAGTCCATGTACACCCGCTGGCTGGTTCTTTCTTGTCTTTCCACCTCCTCATTTGCATTTCCCTTCCCCTTCAGTGAGAACCCTGCTCTAGTGGCATCAGTCTCTTTGCTGATTTGCTCATTTCTATGACATATGCAGATGGTTCCAGAATTGCTTCATCCATACAACAAAAGTCTGCTAGAAGAATTCATTTGTTTGTTGTTCTTTTTGTTTTTAGGCTAAGGGCATATAATCAGGAGTTGAATTTAAAACTTACTTGGTTTTATTTTTTCCACAGTATCCTTATGTTATTTATTTGAAATACAGTTATATTTATTTGTTTCTACTTGTATTTAATTTTAGGGTTTTTGTTTTTACCCTGTATCTTTCTTAACTTAATTTCCTTATTCATTTATGAAAAATCTGAACATGGTTGAAAAGTCAAAACTTCTTTCCTTCCACATTGCCTTTTTGAAGTCTTTTATTCTTCTTCTTCTTCTTTTTTTTTTTTTTTTGGTGAGGCCCTGGATTCCGTCCCCAGGCAAGCTAAGCACATGCTCTCCCACAGAGCCGCAGCCTGAAGTCATTATCTTTGTCCCTCTCCCTTACACCTATTGGTATTACTCTCTGGTCCCCCTTTCTCTCTTAACCCTGTTGGGCTTGGGCTTTCCACCATTCTCGCCTTTCCACAGAAGGGCGCTGGTTAAGTCACCAGCAACTTCTGCTTTGCCAGATTCAGTGGTCATGTCTTCTCTCAGACTACAGCATTGCTGGCAGGTCCACAGCTCCCTCCTTGGGGAAAGGCTTTGCTCACCTGGCCTCTAAGGGGCCCCGTTTAGAGTTCCCGCTCCTCTGCCCTCCGCGGCCCTGGGTCTGGCCAGTCTTCATCCCTTGCTGCAGTTTGCACTAGTGTCCCGTGCCTGCTGCCCCAGCCCACCTCTGTGCCTCCACCCTTGCCCAGCACAGTCCATTTCCACACAGTTGTCAGAGCGACCTTTAACAATGTCAGGCAGACCATGTCCCTTCTCTGCTTAGAAATGAGAGGCTCCTTTGAGTCAGTGGGAAAGTACAGATTGTCTTCTAAGCTGGCCCCGTACTGCCCGGCTCTGCCCCCTCCTCCCAGCCCAGCCGGCTCTCCCTCCCCACCCGCTGTGGCCTTGCAGCTGCCCGTCTGCCTGAGAGGCGCCTTCTCCAGGCCTCTGTGGGTTCTCTTCTCTCTGGTGACCCTCAGCAGTTCTTGCCTTTCCCAGTTGTTTCCCTTCTGAGAAGGGCCTCTGACGACTATGTGAACAGCCAGCATCCCG